TGGGTCCTGGCTTCCTGCCCAGTCTGCTGCTGCCTGTGACCTGGACTTGAGGATGGACCTCCGAGGCCCTGGGCGCGCTTTGGGGCATGACTAAACTAGTGTTCCGTGCCCTCTGGACCCAACCCGCCCCTTCTCTGAGAAGCATGTGGGAACCCATTAGCCTAGAACCCCTGGCCTGGTCCTCTGCATCAGACGTTTGGATGGGACCCCCAAATCTGAAGTGATTCTCTTCCAGGATTGCCCATAGACCTGCTTTTCAAAGAAAAGACAGAGCAACTGCATTCCTTTGATAATCTAAACAGCAGACCCTACCAGCTCTCTCCTCTTTGTATGGAGCCACAGGGTCCTGCGACATAGGGACTCAGTGATGCTGACTTGCCCCTGTGTCCCTGGAGACGGCACCACAGGGGTGGGGCTGGGGGCAGAGGTCACCACCACTGGTCACGCCGCTAAGCGTCCTAATCTCACTACACATTGCAATGAGCTCCCCTTAGCTCCCTAATATTTGGCAAAGGTTTCAAATGCCATCTAAAGGGCAAATGGGCATTGACTTATGTTGTCCTAAAAGGTTTTATCGCCCTGGCCTGCGTGGTTCCGTTGGTTGGAGCGTCATCCCGTAGACTGAAAGTCTGCAGGTTCAATTCCCTGTCAGGGCACAAACCCAGATTGTGGCTTTGATCCCCGGCTGGGGCGCGTACCCCAGTCGGGACCCATACGAGAAGGCAACTGATCGATGTTTTTCTTTCTCTCTCTTCCTTCCCCCTCTCTAAAGGTAAGGAATAAACAAATAAAATGAAATAAAAAGTGCTATCTTCCAGAGTCCAGCAGATCGGAGATTGGTTCCGTGAGGCCTTCTTGTCCCCACCACCAACCCTGGAACCAGAGAACCTCTGCAGCTGTGGATGGCGTCTTCCTGCGTAACCAGCCATCCCGAGGTGTCCTCCCTTCCTCAGCAAGCTCCCTCTGCCCAGGAAAGGCCCTGCCCCAGCACAGCGGCGGGAGCCTCCTCTCTGGATCGCTCGTTCCAGAGACAGACCAGCGCAGACTCTGCGGCGGCACCTCCTACTCTGTGGAAATACAGTTACACGCGACCCACCGCACCCCCCACCCTGCTCCGAGTCTTCCCCCACCCACCCCAAGGGTCAGCAACCTGCTTCCCCAGCTCCATCCTTTGTCTTCTTGTTTGCGGACCATTAAGGAAATGATCCCACTGAAGGAAATTCCCTGCTTGTTCTCGGAGTCTTCTGACTCCTCCCTGCCCCACCCGCCAACCCCACCCTAGTCCAGGTATCCCTGCAGCCCTTTTCCCAAGGTCCCCAGCATCACAATACCTGCTTCCGGTGCCTAAGCAAACAGTGCCCCCCCCCCACCGCCCCGAGCCCGAAAGAGCTGCCCCAAAGCTGACTAAACTTCAGAGCAGCCCGAGCCACCTCCCTGTCTCCCCACGACACAGAGATTCTGATACAATGCATAGACTCTGACAAGGTGGAATGAAGACACTCTTGTCACCGGTACTTTATGATGGCACCCAGGACCTGGAGCGGGGCTGGAAGTCCCCCTGAGGAGAGAGCATCACCTTTCCATTTCAAAATTTGGGTATGCAGACAGATCTATGCCTGCCTTCAGCTTACGGTCTCACCCTAAGAGAAAGGCAAGAGCGAAAGAATGTCTGCCCCATTAAATTTCCCGAACCAAGTCGTTCTAATGTTTAAAAAGAAATGAACAAACACACAAATGAGGCTTTTGCCTAAGCATCCAGGATGAATTTTTCATTTTTGGGGCTGAATTGAAGCGCTAGCCTCACAGGCAGCAAACACAAGGCCCGCGGGCCGAACCCGGCCCTCCACCTTGTTTTATCCTGCCCGGCACCTTCTTTGTGCTCGGTGGCAGCGCCAGAGTTCTCACTTAACTGTTAAGGAGTAGGTACATTTATACAGTCCAAACATTACATTTGGCCCTTTGAAGACACACTCGAGGCTGACGTGGCCCCTGATGAAAATGAGTTTGACGCCCTTGTTAGCTTCTTCTGTTTCCAGCTGGTTAACTGGGGGGTGGAGGGCAGCGGTGGGAGGAAAGTTAACCTGCTGTGAGCCCAGATTTTTCTCAACTGCAGTGCAAAGCTAATGACTTCCTCATTGGGATGTGATAAGGAGAGACTGAAATCTCTTTGTCAGCTATAAAGTGATATTGGCGTGTCATTTCTTATTATTGTATTCTCTATCTTCCCCAGTCCCAGACTCTTAGAGGATCTCGCCTCCTATTTCTCCAGGAAAATAGACACCATCAGACGGGAATCCCATCTTCCCGACACCAAACGTGCAACCCACTGACATCTGCTTCATCCTTCTTTCTGCTAGAGGGACGTGTGTGTGCATGTGTGATTTTTAAACAAAGACTGATACACTGTTCTTATAACCTGCTTGTTAAATAATGTCACAATGTATCATGAATAATTTCCTGACAACAAATACAGCCATAAGAGATTTTGAATGGCTCCACAGAATTCTATTTATAGACATCTACCATAATTTATTTAACGACTGCCCAGGTTGGAACATGTGACTTGGGTAGAAGCTTTCCTTGTGGTGTAAACAGCGCTCTGATGGCTGCTGTCCATTAAATCTTTGTCTACTTTTTTTGTTGTTTCCTTAGAATATTTCTATAAGTGAATCTGGCTGGCGTAGCTCAGTGGATTGAGCGTGGGCTGTGAACCAAAGTGTCTCAGGTTCGATTCCCAGCCAGGCCACATACCTGGGTTGCAGGCCACGGCCCCCAGCAACCGCACATTGACGTTTCTCTCTCTCTCTCCCTCCCTTCCCTCTCTAAAAATAAATAAATATTAAAAAAAGAATATTTCTATAAATGGAACAGCTGTGTCACAACTTATTTACTACATCAATGCATATTTTAAAGATTGTTTTTCATCAGTACCATCCAACTGTCCTGCGGGAAGGTTGTCCCTGTTCATATCAGAACCGGAGTCTTTGACCTTGACTCAGAAGATGGCAAAGAGACCAGGAGGATGCCTCCAAATGGCGAGAAGTAAGATCCCGCACAAGAAGCAGGGAGGAAGCTGGCCAGCACTGTGCCTATGACAGGCTACTTTTCTAGGGTGCAAAAAAAAAATTCCTTTAAGACAGAACGTGGGATTGGGACTGAGGCTTCAAGACCTGGAATCGCTTGTGCTGACCTTGATTTAAATCATTTGGCTAAATCCAGTCTCATGCAGCTGTGCTAAAGGCGTTGTGCGAGGGCTTTAGATTCATGTTTGGATCAGAGTAATAGGGGGAAGAGTGGAATGAGAGCACCCTGAGGGGAGAGCAATGGCGGGCCGGAAGGTGTGAGCGGAACTCGTCGCTTGGCCATTACACGGGACCTGGAATTCCCCCCCCCCCCACCAGTGCTTTCTTGGCTCCAACCATAAGGGTCTGGGGGGCTTTGCTGCAGTGATGAAGGTTGTTCCTTCTTTTCCTTTTCCGTCTTTCTGTTTCCTCTCCTTGGTAGCGAGTCACTATATTCCAGGAGAGCAGAATCCTGGTAGTTTTTTTTTTTTTAAATAGACAATAGTAGATGTGGGGGAAATACTTTCTAATTCTTTCCACTGTCTGAAAAAGGTACCAGATCCTGCTACAAATTATACTGGACAATTAAAATCTCAGCAGATCTATAACAGACTAGTCTGTCTTCTTGCTCAGGGTTGTATAGATGTAGGTTTGGCTCATTTCTTCATGCACAGAGACCAAAGATCAGTTCTCTCCGTGATCCTATCTCCTGGGTCTTCAATTAGATTAGCATTGTGTCCCCTATCTCTCACGTGGAGTTCCACCAAATGTAATGGTCATCACTCTCAAGGTTAGCTCTCCGCCAGTAATCTAAAGGTGACAAGTTGCATCCACAAGACCTGGGCTCTCTCGGTTCCATGCCCACACCAGGGACCCCTAGCCCACCGCCTCAGTGGCTCCCTGTTCAACCTCAGGAGGGACCTGACAGCAGGTGGGCAGCAAACAGACCCCGGCTGAGGTCACTGGTGCTGAAACTCCGCCTTCTCACACTTTGGGTTTTCTGGGTGCGGCTTAGACAAGTCTCCGGCCCTTTCTCCTGTGACTTTCCTGCTCTCCACCTCTAGTCCGCTGTCCTCATCGGCCCACTTAGCCCTTGCTACTTAGATCTCCCTCTCTCTCTCTCTCAACCCCCTGGAGGCCTTTGGTACCTACCTGACCCTCCCCACTAGCCAGACAGAGGGCATCCTCGCTCTGTTGATCTTGACCGCCTCCTGACATCCACGCTTTCATTCGTCAGAGAGGACCAAGGCTCGGAAAAGTTAAACTGGATTTCAAACTATGGCTTCCAGCCAGCCTCGGGTCCTGGCATTTTTTTTTACTTCACTTCAGGTGGCATTGAATTAGCTTCATTCTCCTCCCCCATCACGCACGGTACATCCACCTCCACAATTTGCGGCGGGCGCCGAGCCCAGGGGAGTCGCACACAGGACGCACTCGCAAAGACTTCGCGATGTGCTCGGGTGGACAGAGCGTGCACGGGAAACGCAGGGCATCCTGCACCGTGTCCAGTCACGCCGCCCCTGGAAGAAAACAAGTGTTTGCGGAACTGGGCGGCCGAGGCTGTGGTTCATCAAGGCTTTACTCTCATCCCGCCCCACCCCCCCACCTCACTTTCTTCCAGAGCATCCCCAACCCCGACCCTGAAAATTCATCCACCAGAGCCGAAGGGCCGGCCCGGGGCTCTTTACCCGGTTCTTGGGACCCCGGGCAGGTATTCTGCCGGACTCCACCGCGGGCGTGAGCCCAGCCCCGACCCCAGAGGGGCCGCGGGCGGAGCTGGGGAAAGGCTGGCGCGAAGAGGCGCGCGGGGAGCGCGGCGGCGGGCTCGGGCCTGGGGGAGGCGCCCGGCGCAGCCAATCCCCGGGCCGCCCCCTCCCGGGCCGCGAGCGGAGCCCGGGCGGGGGAGCCAGGCGGCGGCGGCGGCGGCGGTGGCGACGGCGGCGGGCGCGGGGAGGGATGGAGAGGGGCGGGGGGAGCGGAGCCGAGCGGAGACAGCCGCGGCGCTGCAGAGAGGCTGGGGCGGCGGCGCGGCTCCCGGTGCTCCCCCCCGCGCCCGCCGCGCGTCGGCGAGGGTCCGGCCCCGGAGGCCCCGAGCCATGGGCTGCATCGGCTCCCGGACCGTGGGTGGGTACCGCGGCGCAGCGGGCGTGGGCGTAGGCTGGACTCGCCGGGTCTGCGCCTCCGGCCCCTCCCCCACCCGCTCCGCGCCCCCCGAGGACCGCGCTCCGCGCCCCCCGCCCCCCGCCCTGCTCGGCTGCCTCACTTCCCCCCCGTGCCTCTCCTCCCCGCTCTCCCCGCGCACCCCCGGGGCCAGCATCCCTGTCTGCTCTCGGCGTCCTCTCCGTCTCCCTCCGGCTTCCATCCCTCGCCCTCCCCCAGGCGCGGTTTCTCTCCATCATCTCTCCACCAGCCTCCTCTCTCCCGCGTCGCTCTGCCCTCCTCTCCCGCCGCCTCCCGGCCCTCCGCCTCGACTCTGCCTGCCTCGGCGCCCCCGCACCTCCATCTCCATCGCTGGAGCACCCCTCTTCGAGGAGTCCCCGCCGCACCTCCAGCCCCGAGTTGTTTTCCGCACGCACCCCCCACCCCCGCCTCCTTCTGGCTCGGGCGTTTTGCCCCCATCTCTGCCCCTCTCCGTTGTCTTTTTCTGTCGTCCCGGCCTCCCCGGATTTGCTTTGTTCACGTGCATATTCCCTCTGGGGCGGGGGCGGGGGCGGGATGCGCCTCGGGGAGGGAGTGGGTTCCGCGCCGGGAGGGCAGGGGGACCGGCCGGCTGTCGTTGGGGGTTACAGCCGGGGGACGCGGGGGAGGAGGCAGAGGTCCCAAGGGACCTAGAGGGGCTGGGTGCCGGCTCCCAGCAGGGTGGGGCCGGGCCTGGGAGGATCCGGGACGGACAGCACCTGTCAGCGGGGGGGGGGAGTGGGGCGGAGCTAGCCCTTTATTTACCTTTGACTGGGGAGGGAAGGCGGGCGCCTCCTAATTCGTCTAACACCTTCAGCCTCTGCCTGGCTCCTGCCCCCTGGCCCCCCACCCCCTGCGCACTCCAACAAATCGATCGAGCCCTCTCCCCAAACCCCCAGTTTTTTCACATTTCAGCTCCCCGTTTCTCCCGCCTACACGCCCCAGTGACCTCAGGCTGAGAGAATAATTCGTATGATTATCACAGACAAACTCACTCGACGGAAGCCTGATTTCTCTGAGATTTGATTCATTTCCATGGATACCCCCCTCCTCCTCTGCCTTCACCTCTTCTCCTCCTCTCCCTCCCCCTGCCTGCCCCCCACCGCTCTGACTCAGCTCTCCCTCTTCTACAAAGGCCACCCCCCCCCCCCACTCTGCCGGCCCCATATTCCTTCGCAGAGGTTGTTCTCTGCCTGCCCCTTTCCAGCTCTCTCGGCCCAGATGTCCGTCTTTCCTCTCCCCCAGCCCCAGGCCATAGCCTCTGGTCCCGCCCATCTCGCCACTCCCCTGCAGCCCAGAGGAACAGTGTCCTCTTTGAAGGGGTCCTATGTCCCTGGACCCCGTCAGCAGGAGCCCTGCCTGAAGCAGCAGCTGTGCTGATGCAAGCTGAGTGCCTCCCCAGGCCTGAGACCCCAGTCCATTCTCCTCTTCTCAAGGGTGGGCCCTGAACCCGGAATTCGGAGTCATGAAACTGCCTGTGTCGGAGGGGTCTGAACAGTCAGATGCTTCACAGCCATCTGACTCGGGTCTCTCTGCAAGGCTCCAAGCGCTTCTTCCCCGAGGCTCCCAGGAGGCACCGCCTGCCCTGGGCCTGTCCCCCTTCACCACGAGCTCTGGCTTCACCATGGTGGTCACCACCCTTCTGGGCCCTCCAGCTCCCCCAAACCCTCAAGCCCCTCCCATTCCCATTCTTTTGGTTCCTTCTTGTAAAAACTGCCCTTCTTTCTGCCCGAGGTCCCCCTTCCACTCCTCTTTAACCCACCACTTATCTCCCAACAGTCAGGTAAAGGGATTCCAACTCCCGCTTTGCTTTCTCTGCTCTCGCTGTTTCTGCGTAAATGGACCCATCTCCTGCCTCTGTCCTCACCACATCCTTCCTGTCAATCAAGTTCACCAACTCCTACCCAGGGGTCCCTCCATGCCTTCGACCTCACAAACAAGAAAGCCAGGCACAGAGAGGCTAGCCCTAGAGAAGCCCCGCCCCTATCTGTAGAAACGTAATAGGTAAAATGCACAGCTCCTGTGTGTACTCCTACATGGAAACCCTCAAGGATTGGTCAGGACAGGATGGGCGATAGTTTTCCTGCTAAAACCCAACCTTGGGCCCTTCCGTTTGCACAGAAACAATAAGGAAGGCCAGACACCACTTTTTCTGAGTGTGCTACTCCTGGTTGAGCTCAAGCTGAGTATTTGGGCTCAGTACTGTGATTTCTTCTACCGGAGATGTGGGGAGAGTCGGGATGGAAAAGGAATGGGCAATGGGAAGCAGTGGTGGCCCAGGGTAGGGAGGAGTCCAGAAGGGCAGCCTCAGCATCTGAGACCGGGAGGGGGCCTTTTGGGGGTGGGGGGGGCGGGGGGGGGCGGTCAGGTGGAGCGCCTAACTCTCTGGCCACTTCAGGGAACGAGGTGATTGCCGTGGACTGGAAGGGCCTCAAGGATGTCGACCAAATCAACATGGACAGCACCAGCTCGCTGCACGGAAGCAGCCTCCACCGGCCATCCGCGGAGGTGAGGCCTGGTCCAGCTGCCCCCCTCCACCAGCCGACCCCTAAAAAACCCCAGAACCATCATGAACAAAGCCACCAAGCGGCCCTGAGCCTGGAAATCTCCTCCTAAATTCCAAGTCCACTCCCCAAACACGCCTTCAGATGGACACCCTGAGAGAACATTTCTCCTACATCCCTCCAAATACAAGCCGAGTCGATGCTAACTTCCTATGCTAGTCTCAAGAAAGCCCCCCCTTCTTCACACACTTCTGGAAGTCCCTCTGAGGAAGGGGGAGGGGGCTCCTGTATTCCTCGAGGTGCCTGGGATACCCACTCCCCTTTCTCTCTCCCCACAGCAAACCCGAACCGATTTCTCCTGGGATGGCATCAATGTGAGTGCGGGCTTCCCCAGCTCCCCCAGCCCAGCCCAACTCCCCTGCCTTCTGTTCTCTGGTAATGCAGGCACTGTGGTCACTCCCAGGCTCCGCTTGCCCCCACATGTTCAAGGGGGGTTGGAGGATAGGCCTCCTTGGCGCCTCTGGCTATAGTGGTTTTCCCTATCACCATGGTTTCCTTCCTCCCGGAAACCATGAACAGAATTCTCCCCACATAGAAGGCACCCCACGCCCTCTTATTCCTCTGTCCCTCCCCCCACATTCCCCTTTCCAGCTCTCCATGGAGGACACCACTTCCATCCTGCCGAAGCTTAAGCGAAACTCCAACGCCTATGGCATCGGCGCCCTGGCCAAGTCCTCGTTCTCAGGTGAGACTGCCTGCCTGGGGACCGTCCGGACGGGATGCTTCCGGCTCCTGGTCTCAGTCGCCCTGCTCCCCGCTATCCCTGACCTGTCTGTCCTTTCTGGGCAGCCGCGCCCATCCTCCAGGCTGCCCTCACACCGCGAGACCTAGGGGAGCCTGTCCCGCCCCCAGGGGTGGAGCCCCCAGGGACTGGGGTGGGGAGCAGGGGGTCAGCGGGTCCTGTGTGATATTCTGGAGGATGTGGGGAATGTCTGGTCCCTTAGGGATTTCGAGAAGCATGAAGGACCATGTGACGAAGCCCACAGCCATGGGGCAAGGCCGGGTGGCCCACATGATCGAGTGGCAGGGCTGGGGGAAGGCACCCGCCATTCAGCCGCAACACAGCCACGAGGCCGTGCGCAGGGATACCGACGCCTACTCTGACCTCAGCGATGGCGAGAAGGAGGCGCGTTTCCTCGCAGGTACCTCTGCCCCGAACCCTCTGGAGGGAGGCCCATTTCGGGATGGCCGGTGGCTGACCCTCCAACCCCACCCCCTGTGGCAAGGTCGGCCCATAGGAGGACCATCTGGTGCTGACTACGGTTTTTTCCTCCCAGGCGTCATGGAGCAGTTCGCCATCTCCGAGGCCACACTCATGGCCTGGTCTTCCATGGATGGTGAGGACCTGAGTGTCAACTCTGCCCAGGAGCCACTGGGCTGCAACTACAGTGACAACTACCAGGAGTTGATGGAGAGTCAAGGTGAGGGAAGGATGGTTCCAGAACCCAACCCCTGAGGCCTAAGAGGCCTCCTCAACTATTTAGGTACCTGTATTCATCTCTGTATCTCTGTTCTTTCTCTTTTTTGGAAGTATTTTTAGAGAGAGGGGAAGAGAAGGAGAAAGAGAGGGAGAGAAACATTGTGTGGTTGCCTCTTACACTCTCCCTGCTGGGGACCTGGCCTGTAACCCAGGCATGTGCCCTGACTGGGAATCAAACCGGTGACCCTTTGGTTTGTAGGCCAGTGCTCAAGCCACTGAGCTACGCCAGCCAGGGCTCATCTGTTCTAAGACTTTCTGTTCATCTCAGCCTTCCAGTCCCCTCCTTCCCTAATGTCTCGCCCTCGATCCTCTGTGCTGCCATCACTGCCTTGCCTAGTGTGTGCCCCCGCCAACATCCACGATTCTCTTCACAGATGCCCTCACTCAAGCCCCCTTGGATGGATGGCCTCACTCCTACGTGTCTCAGGGCATGTACTGTCTGGGGTCATCGGATGCCTGGGAAGCCAGCGACCAGTCGCTCATCGCCTCCCCGGCCACGGGCTCCTATCTTGGCCCTGCATTTGATGACTCGCAGCCAAGCTTGCATGACATGGGGCCTTCCCAACCTGCTTCGGGATATTCCACTCAGGAGCCTCCACCTTTGCTGGGGGCAGACAGCGACTGGGCGCCAGCGGTGGGCAGAGTGGACCTGGTAAGGGGCCCTGCCGAGGAGGAGAAGAGGCCTTCGGCCCCCGAGGAGGAAGAGGATGCGGGATGCCGGGACCTGGAGTCACTTTCCCCACGAGAAGACCCCGAGATGTCCGCTGCTCTCAGCCGGAAGGTGTCTGACGTCACATCCTCAGGTGTGCAGTCCTTTGATGAGGAGGAGGGCGAGGCCAACAACTAGCTTCTTCCCACTCGATGCCCTACCTTCCACTCCCGCCTGAGGGGCATGGCTGCGACAATACCCTCCCTCCCCCCAGCAGTACAGCCGAAGCCCAGGCCGAAGACGGCGAGGAACCCGGGGGCCGCCAGTCCTCGCCGGGAAAACGGAGGGCCGGGATGGGGTTCCATCCAGGCTCGTGCTGTAGGAACCCCAGGTCCGGGGACTGAGGCCCAGGCAACCAGATGGCTGTGAACTTGGCTTGGCTGCAGGCTTCTGGGTCTGTGATGCGGAAGCTCCAGTTTCTATCCTGGGGACAGGAGCGCAGAGCGGCCTGTGTCCGTCGACTAGGCCTCAGTTTTCCACGCCCTGATTTCGTCTTCCAGGAGCTTTGACTGTGGCTGTCTGAATGCCTCCCTTCTTCATGTCACTCCTGCTTTTCCCGACTCTGTGTTTTCTCTGGCCGCGGTCCCAGCTCGACCCTACTGTGGAGAACAGACCTCGGGGGCTGCTGGACGTGGCTTGACGCGAGTAGGGGAAGCCACGTCTCCTTGGAGGATGGAGAATCTGCCCTCGGTGGGTAGCTCGGCTTCTGAGCTCAGGAGGCCCGGGGAAGGTGGATGCGAAGCTGGGGTACACAAGGGCACAAACAGGGGTCTTTATACGTGGCCCACCCAGAGACCGGAGAGTCGCTGATGGGACCAAGGACAAACCTGGCCACCTGTTCTGGGATCTTGAATATCCCGTGACTGGAAGGTGGGTCCGAGGGGTCTGGGGAAGGACCCAGCGGGCTGGCTGCTCCAGCTCTTGCTTCCCTTGTCTGCCTTCTTCTACCCCCTGCTCCAGGAGCTCCCGCCCAGAGGGGGCGACACAGAATGCCCGTGGCCTGCCAGGCAGGGAAGCGTGAGGTCTGTGCCTCCCTCCATCCACCCCCAAATTCTCTGGAGCTGTTTACACTTTTCTCTTTGCCTTTTCTACATTTTTATAACTTCTTGGGGACTCAGGTTGAGTGGGGCGGAGGGAGGAGTCTGGTGCTGTCAGGCCCCCGCCGGGGGGACACTCAGCCCCTTTTTCTCCTTCTTCAGCTCCTCTGGGCCCCTTCCTGGGCCCCCTGTGGAGAGGGGATCAGAGTCTTCTTCCTTCTAGGATGGGTTTACAGCGAGGCATACGCCCCTGAAACTGCTCGCCCTCCCACACCCAGTGTCCATTTCAGTGGGGACTTCTGTCTGCAGTACACAAAGCCCCCACACTTCTGTAAATGATCCTGACGGCAGGGACAGGCCGGAGCAAAGCAGTGGCAGCTGTGGAGCACATAGCGGGACCCTGTGCCCTGGCTCCTGGCCCGCGGAGAGTCTGGGCGGGAGAGAGAAGCCAGGACGTTCATGCCTACCTTTCCTCCTGCCTCATCCAAGGCTCGGGGTCTGAGGTCTCATGTTCTACCCAAATGTTGGCAGGGGTCCTGTTGCTCTTGTCCTCTGCCAGGAAGGGTGCACGTCATCCCTCTCAGACCCTGGGCACAAACTACCTTATCCCCACCCCTGTCCCCAAATGTCTGTTTCTTTGGAACGAGGAGGTAGAATGGTGGTATTTCTGTCCATCTGTGACCCTGCTCCCCACCCCCCATCAAGTTCACATGTTCATACGCACACAGTCCTGAAATGCAACCCAGGCTGGGGCCTGGGGAGGGGAGGGGAGGTTGAGTCTTGGAGAGAACACCCGTAGGCATGGCGAGCACAGGTGGTGAAGAGTGGCTTACCTCATCCAGAGCTGTCCCTTGTGTTTAATCATGTGACCTGACTTGGGCACGAAGAGCCCTGGGAAGTGGCCTTGTACCCTTGCCCTGCACTCCTGCCGCTGCAGGTCTTGGGGTTTTGCATGCTCCGGTTCCCGCCTCCCAGGGAGCCCGTTTCCGCACCGTGTGCAGCCCGCTTTCTGGATACACCATCTTTTCCTCTCAGGCTCTTCCTCTTCCTGCCCCTTATTCCGCCCCCAGCCCGCGGTGGACACCCACTCCAGCGAGTGGGCTCTTTCATTTCGGTTTTGCTCAGGGCCCTGGGGGGTTGGGGCAGGTGGAGGAAAGCAGCGCTCTTTCCTCCCTCCCTCCTCGAGGAAGCCCTTTTTCAGGCAGGCCCTGCCGAAAGATGACTGAATTGTCAAGGAATCTAGGTGATTTCAGACACCAGCGGGGGCTCCACATCCCCAGTGCTGGCGGCTGGCACATGCACAGACCAGAGGTCAGCTGGGGGTCTGCATTTGCAAGGAGCTCCCCTCCCACTCTGAAGAGGGAGAAGACCAGGGAGCTGGCCTAGGACCCTGTTAGGGCTCTCTGGAGGGAGCAGCTGCCTCTTTGGTGCTGGGGGCAGGGTGCATGGGGTTTGCTTATAGCCTATTTGCGGGGAGGGGAGGGGCATGTGCTGGAAGAGGCTGTTGGGGGTCAGGGAGGGTCGCTTTTCCTTTGGGGTTAAAGGCTGTGCAGCACGATTTACAACAGTCCCAGGACAGGGCTGTGTTTCTATTATTGTGAATGAAACTGCTCTTGCTAAATGATTTTCTTTCAGGGGTGGGGAGTGCACTTTTATTTTTAATTGTTTATTAAGGAAAACCCAAATCTCCCATTCCTCCCCTTCCGCCTGCCCCCTGCCCCCCCCCCCCTTCCTTCTTATCCTTGCGTTAAGGAGGGAAACGTGGTGACTGTGTTTACGACCTTTGCCCCACCCCACCCCCCCACCCACACAGCCCGTGCTCGTCTTCCAGGTCTGGGGAAGATCCACTTTCACGGCCAGTCTCAGCATGTTTTCTTAATGTGACGTTCCCCCTCCCAGGCCCAAGAGAGATTCTATGGCATATATTACAGAGAGAATTATATAAATATATATAAATATTATAGATTATATACACGTGGGCACTGGGCTCGAACGCCCGCTGCCAGCCCCCTCCCCAGGCTACAGCCTCTCTCTTGGCCTGGGGAGGGGGTAGGGGTGTAACGCTGGAGAGGGCTCCAGGCTGTGTTCATTGGCACTAAACAGAATGTGGTGGCACCCTCCGACTATGAGTGTCTTATTTGGGGGATGGAGACTGGGCCCGGGCGGGGGGGGGTGGGGAAGGAGGACAGTGTCACCTCGGAGAGGGGACACAACCAGAGGGCATGGACGAGGGAGGGGGGAAAGCCTGGGAGGTGGGAGCAGGGGTTCTGCAGGCTCAGAGCCCCTGGGACCGCTCACGGAAAAGGCAGTCTCCCTGTTGCTGATTTGGGGAGGATGTGCTTCAGACTTCCCAAGTGTGGACGCATGGAAGAGGTCTGCCGTCTTGACATTGAACCCCCAGCCGTCCACCCCAAGAGGAAGAACACAGAGAACTAGTCTAAGGGCTGGAGTCTGAGGGGGCCTGGCTGGCCTGAGCCTCAGTTCCGGGCAGGAGAGGCCCCAGCCGGAGCAGCTCGAGGGCAGAGCTGTCCACCCTCTGTTGGGAGGGACAAATCAATGACCCCCCCGGGAAGAGGGGGGGCGGGTTTTCCAGGAAGTGACCTGGAACCAAGGGCGAGGAAGCTGTGACAAGACGACAGGGAGGATGTCTGCTGGAGGGGGGGGCAGAGAGTGCCACGGGGGCAGCACGGCCGCTTGGCCCACGGTGCCCCTTCCACACAGAGCCTCCTGCGACATTCTCTCTTTTGGGCTGGTCCTTGATAGCATCTTTCTCCACATTTCACTGCTTGAATCCGGGACATAGGATGAGAGGGGGCTGGAACTGGCCTGTTGCTGTCCTAGTCACGGCCCCTTGCTTGGGAACAGACAGTGGGAGCCAGTTGGAGTGTAGAGGCCAACTTCAGGACGTGGGAGAGCACGGAGTGGGGGACTCTGGGAGAAGGGCTATGGAGGGTCTGCAGTATATTCTGGGGCCGCCAGTCCTTGAGGCCATGGGGTGGTCCCCTCTCCTCCTCCAGTATGACACTTGCAGGGCCACAGCCATCCGGGGTCTCCCTTCACCCACACCTGTGGGAACTGAAGGACAGATGTGCAGAGCCAGGGGGGTGCTGGGAGAGAACACCGGGAGTTGGGGGGCCGGGGGTTGAGGGGAGGAGAGAGGCAGGGAGTCCCCCACCTACACCGGGGGAAAAACTCAGGAAGCTCCAGCGAGTATATGAGCCCTTCACCGAGATGCCTGGGAATGGGGGACATGCCTACATAATTGATCAAGGCTAGTCCCTGCCCAAATCCGGACTCCTCCTCTAAGACTATCACCATCACATTTTAAAATTCCAAGGAGGGGCCGGGACATCGTCATGAGCGCTCCAACTTAGAGACATACCCTCTCCCACCGAAACCCACCCTCGGGCCTCGGCCTCTTGACAGTCTGATGGGGCGGTCCTGGGGGCGGTCAAAGAATCAGTTCGTCTTCATCCTCCTCATCAGTGGACCGCAGACTGGGGCCCTGCAAGATGTCAGCCAGCTCCTCCTCTGGCCCTGGGCTGTCCGCCAACTCCAGCTCCTCCAGCTCACTCTCTGCTCTGGGGGCGGCCAAGGGCACTGGGTGCTCCGGAGGGATAGGGACCACGTCCTCTGGCTCAGCAGCCCCAGTTCCGTCCTCGGGCAGGCTCCACCCCTCTGTGGGAGGGAGCGGCCCCCCGGGAGTCTTTGGAGTGGACGTCGTGCTCCGGAAGCTGGCCAGCGGAGGGCGGAGCTGCACCCCTGACTTGGTGTGCCCCTCGATGGCTTTCTGCAGCTGGGGGGCAGGGGGACAAGGGAAGATGGTACAGGATGGGGAAGAGAAAGGAGATGGGGGATTGAGAGGAACAGACACACGAGAAGAACAGATACAATGAGAGGAAAAAGGCATGGAAAAGCCCCAGAGTGGCAAGGGAGATGGACCACACGGAGAGGCCAGAGAAGACCGAAGAAGGACAGGCCAGCGGACCCCTTGCAGAGCAGTGGGTCTCAGGGCTCCTGACCCAGGTGCTCCTGTGGCCCGTCCCCTGTGACCTTCAGGCCCCCTTCAGCCACATCCTGTCTCTTCTCCCTTTCCATGGCATGAAACTAGGACGCGTGCCCCGAACTCCAACCCAAACCCATGCCAGCTGTGGGAGATCACAAGGGCTACATCTGGGGTGATCTATGAACCCTTCAGGACTTGGCAGTCCTCTCTACTGGCACCGCCAGATTGCTGACCCCCTCTTCCTCCTCCAATTTATTCATGAGATAGGAAAATAGTGGGGGGGGGGGCAGTTAAAACCATCCTTCCTCCGCCACGCCACTCATTCCTCCGGCTGCTCCAAAGGGACACATCACTATTACCTCCTCCAGAGCCAGCACGCCCCGCAGCTTCCCCATGCTGGTCACGTAGGCAAGGTGGAGGCCGAGGAGTGAGAACAGTGTGTGTGTCTGCGCGGAAAGAGCCGCAGGTCAGCGCACCATGGGCCCTCACCGCCCCTGCCCTCCCGGGAGCCCGGAGCGGTGGGCAAGGACTAGCCTTGTGCAGGGACGTCTGCTCCACCAGCTGGAAAGGGGACTGGTCAATGCAGCAGCAGTCGAAGCAGACAGGCTGGCTCAGCTGCTCTTGCTCCCAGGCCTCAACCTGTTGGGCAGAGGAGGGCCGTCACCCCATGCCGCAGAGCCCCCTTCAACGTCAGGTGCAAGGCCTTGACTGCAAGCAGCCCTCCTAGCCCCCAGTCCTGAAGTACACAACTGAAACACGCAACGAACTAACACAGAACTTCCAGATCACTAAGCCCCTCCCTCCTTCCCAGGGGACCGCCCCTTCTTTTCCCCCCTCATCAGGTTCCCAGTCAACCTTCATCCTCAGGCACTGGCACACCCTCCCTCTCTCACCCACACCCCCCCAGGCCCCCACACACCGTGTTACTTCCAACCTGTCTTCACAGTACTCCCCCTATGCCTGTCATAGCCCCTGCCCCAGTGAAACCCCACTACTTACCCTTCCTCACACACGTCTTCTGGCTTCTGCATTGGCTGGGCTGCATTTCCCTTACCTGCCCACCCTGCACCCGCTCTGCACTCTCGATGCTCCCAGACCAGAGTGCTTCGCCCCTGCAGCACTCTGTCGGTGTCTCCTTTTCAGAAATGGTGTAGATTGCAGGCACTCTCGCACTGGATTTCTCACCCCTGCCCGCTGGACATGAACTCCTGGAGAGTGTTCCTGGTACGGACGGCCCCATGTTGTGATGTTGTGACGAGACCAGCACACTTCCCTCCGACACCGTCCAGCACGGCGGATATTCGCTGGATTTGAAGAGCTGTGCTGGCTTGCATGGCACTTAGTGGATGTGAGCAAAGCCGTCTTTGTTTGTGTGGGACAGAGGCATTAAAACAAGAAGGCCAACTCTCCTCTTGATTTTAGATACGATGCCCAAATCCCCAAGCTTCCCAAGAATCCAGTATGGCTCTGGCTTTCATAAATGAATCTAACGTTTTCTGGAACCCTCCTCTTCCCTGACTAAAGGTTCACATGGGGTGTGACCGGCTCCCGAAGCACAGGACGGTGACTCCTTAGCAGGTATGTCATAGAGACAATTTATTTATGGCAGGCGGCGACCTTGCCAACCCCGGTTTGGCTTGTTCTACCTCCTGGACCTTTGTAGCTTTCCCCAGTTTCGTCTTTGCCTTCCCTTCAGGAGCAACAGCTTTATTCAAATTGCACGGAGCGGGAGCTGGGCTTCTGACCTTGACTGCTGGTCCTGTTCCAGGTACCCCCACCTCTTCTCCAAGGAGCAAGGGATGTCTGCTCTTGGGTCTGAACTTGAAAAACCCCAGCCCGTTAGAAACCGGAGCTTTAACTCTGTGTACGAACAGGGTAGCAGAATCAAGTCAAAGCCGGGACTCCTGGTGACCTATAACCGAATTCTCCCAGCATTTCCGTAGGTATCGTCTCGATGTTGCCAAGAGTGTCACCTTGATCTAATTCGAAAACCATGTTCAAAATTGTCTGAATTCTGACTCCTATTGGATCTTATCCCTCCAAAATGTCCTTGAGTCACATGGGAGCTGGGAGCTGCCTAAAATAAAGTCTTCTTTGGGAAAGATATAAACTAAAAATGTAGATCTCTCATCTTTGTATCCCTGGCGGCACTCCATTTTCAGCAGTCATTAAACAGCCTCACCGATCCACTGACTGGCCTTTTCTTTTTGGTGGATTAGCAACAGCAGCAACAAAAAGCATTAGGATTGGTTTCTGCACCCTAGCAAGGCACTCCTTAGTGGCAGATGGGACCCATCTGATCCCTGCTGGGGGACGGAAGGAACGGGTTTTCTTTTTCTCCTGGGATCATTTGGCTCACTTTTCCGTAAGTCATTTTGAGTTTTCCAGAAGTCAGGATGAGTGTTGAGGGGTGCCAAGGGGAGAGGGAGGGCTCCTTTCTCTCTCGTCACTCCCCACCCCTTCCTCCAACCCTGGAGGACTTTTACTCTCCGGCACATATTTCTTCCGGATGTCCGATGTGTATTGTGAAATAACAGTATGCATTATGGCTGGTCAGCCACAGCGCTCGAGTCTGCCGGCTCCTTTCCCAAGGAGAGAGGCTGCGGCCGAAGGGGGGCGTGTCCCAGTCAATGCCACGCCCAGTCACTGCTCCGCGGTCTCTCACTGCTCACGCCAGCCCATTCGGCGCTCTCGAGTTTCTGGCTCATGGACTCCATAACCAGCTCTTTTGGAAAATAGGCATTTGTCCGGACAGAGAGCACCAGCACTACGAATACTTGTCCTCAGAGTGTGGTTCTTCCCGGTCTTGCCTCCCGGGATCTCGTAGCTGCCCTTTGCCTCGGGGCTCTGCTCCATCAGCAGAAGAACTTCCACGGGTGCAGATACCACTTCTTACATAGCTCCGGTGCTGTGTGTCCACACTGGTGTGGACCAGGGCTGGTGTCTGGTGCTGTTTCACGGCATGACGTCTATAGCCTCTGCCTGTCCAGAACAGGCCTAGAGTCTTGAGAGACCTGAGGCGCATCTCAGCACCGTGGTCCCACCTACGCACGGAGATTCAAAACAGCCCTCTTCTGAGATGATGACGGTCCTTCTGAGAACGCCACCAGATAAACCCCGCCCGTGCCCGTCACTGTCTCCACAATCACACTTCCCTTCCCATCTCCCAAACGCTTTCCCACCCAGACTCACATCGTATGCGTGAAACACAACAAAGGAGAGAGAGAAAGACGAGTAATATCTCCATCTGACAGAACCACCTACCCCAGGTTGCTGTTTCCCTCACTTACCTCTTCGGGTGACATGTTGTCCACTAAGTCTGTTGAGTCCTGCAGGGGAAAGACACAGGGCGAGGTTCTTTCCTAGTGGAATGCAGCCACGCTTCCTGGGCCAGGGCCACAGACACCTGCTTTCCCACTCCCCACCCCTTCCACGCGGGGAAGGTTCTCCTTGGTGGGCCCCCTTCCCCCGTGACCTAAGGACCATGGACTTCTCACTCTTCAAAGACACATCCCCATTCCCCCGCCCCCTCCCTTCCTCTCTCACCTGGCTTGTTTTCTTCTTTGTGGGGCGAGTTTTGCCCAGCAAACAGCGCAGCAGAGACTGAAAGATGGAGCGTCTTTGACCTGAGAGGAATGGGGAGCAGGTGGGAATGGAAACAAAGCAATTCCTACCCTCTGCAGGGGGAAATAGCCAGGGGCTCCCCTGTGGCCCCATGACACTTTGCCACCGCCATAAATGCCCTCTCACCCATCCTCTTAAATCAGCCCTTGCCCCGCTCCTTGGGGGCAGCAATATGGAGACTCAATGAATAGGAACCCTCTCCCACCACCTTAGTCTCCTCTCCTCATAGTAGCAGCCCGTAGGCTGAGTGAAGGGGCATGATGGGAAAATCTTTACCTGCAGGTTCCGGTGCCTCTGGCTGCTGCTTGAGGCTGGGCAGGGGCCCATTGGGCTCTTCAGGGGCCAGTGGAACCATAGGAAAGTGTTGAGGAGGAGGAACAGGAGGCAGCTGTAAGGAACAGTGAAAAATTCTCAGCCCCCGAGAAGGGGCTGCCTAGTGCTTTCCTGTCTTCACCAGCTGGTGTCCTAAGAAATCCATCTAATTCTATTCTTCCTCCCCAGTTCAGAGTTCCTACATCCCTTTGAACGCCCATGGGTACAGCCATTCATAGCCTTATCTCCTTTAGTCCTTTGGACCTTTGACTTTCTCCGTGACCCCAACTCCACTCCCTCTTCCTGCTTTCCCTTTCTCCCAATCTCTCCTGCTTGCTGGGTCCCTCCCGGCCCAGTCACCTCGGGTTTCCCAGAGATGTCTTCATCTTCATCCTCATCCACAAAGGCGAAGGACTCTGGCCGGCCAGAGGGCGAGGAGCCGTGGTACCCCTCCCCAGCCGGCCGTGCCTTCCCGTCAAAGGGCAGCTCAGACAGCTTCCTGGCCAGGTCCTGGGCTTCCCGCAGCCTCCGCTCCGGGCTCAGGTGGCGCTGCAGGAGGGCCTGAAGTTCTGACCGCTCCACGGAGCCCAGCAAGATCATTGAATCTGCGGGGGTGTAGCAGGGGGCAGATCCAAGCTCAGAGTTCAGCCTGAGGACCAGCCCCCCAACTCTGCCCCACTTGACAGGATGGGGGCAGTGACAGAATCCCTGTGCCCCCACTTGCATCCCCCACTCTGCACCCCTCACCCCCTGCCACCTTTTATCTTCTCTTCCTCAAAACTCATTTCAAAATTCTTGCAGGATTGACCTCATTCAATTCCTTTTATTCCACCCATTTAGCACTTAGAGACCCAACTGATAGTATACTAATTGGTGCTAATTTGTACTTATTTTGATATAGCCTGTTTGCAAATAGGCAAACTTGGCATTAAAATAGGCTAATCAAGCCCGTCTCACAAACAAAACAAAACACTACAAGCCATTCATATAAGCTGAGATGTGAATATACTTTGAAAGACATCTACAAGGATAGCTGATGTTTAATTATTTAAAGAGTCTGGGTCCTTCGGGGATAGAAACAAAATGCTTACTTTTCCTGGGAAGGTGAAGATTCTGCTACGATAATTAACATCTTCATTAAGTTCTAAGGCCATAAAATTGGGGCCGTATCAGTGGGATACATCTTACCCTTCAGTCTCAATGGTTACCACAAAAACCCTGCGCCTCAGTGGCTGCACCCCTGCTCCAGTGAAGAGCTCCTGCTGTAGAAGCCACTTAGAAGGTATTTGGGCCCTGGCTGGCGTAGCTCAGTGGATTGAGTGCGGGCTGCGAACCAAGGCATTGCAGGTTCGATTCCCAGCCAGGGCATATGCCTGGGTTGCAGGCCATGGCCCCCAGCAGCCGCACATTGATGTTTCTCTCTCTCTCTCTTTCTCCTGCCCTTCCCTCTCTAAAAATAAATAAATAAATCTGAAAAAAAATATGATGCATTTATAAAAAAAAAGAAGGTATTTGGAATTTGGGGAAATATTAAAACTAACCTCACTTGAGCCATGTGGGTACTCTGAGGATCTAAAATCAGAACTAACCATCTGAATGGCTCCAAATGGCCCTTCGTGATTCTTCTCAATTACACCAGTTCAAACATTAGACAAGTGTTTATTTAATATCCAGTAAGGAGGCAGTCTGACGGAGACAGAAGTCACAGTCTCTGCCCTCAAGGAATAAGGCGGGTCAGACAAACACATGTACACCACCGTAAGAAGTAGTACGGAGCAGAACTGCTGCCAACAGCGGGCAGAGAGAATGGGAAGGAAGAGAAGTGTGAAGTCACAGCTCACTAAACCGTTCACCTCTTCATGTGGAACAGTGCCACCAGCTCCTCAGGCTGGACATTAAAGAATGGCTGTTCTTTAACTAAGTAGAAGAGAGAACCACGTCAGGGCCTGGAAGACTTACACCTGAGCCTTATTATTCGAGAGTCCCTTTATTATTTGCGAATTCACCCATTTGTAACCCCACATCAGTACTCGAGATGCTGCCGCTGTCCTGAACGGGCAGGCTCGCAGCAGCTGGAAATCTGACTGCCCCCCGCCGCCACACACACATTCCTAGCTGAGGGTGGACAGGGTGATGCTACATCATTGTTTTCCTTTTCTTCCCTCCAGCTCGCATATTGCAAACGAGTGCTCTTCGCATGGTTCATTTATTGCCACGTGTTTCACATTTTTGTGATTCGTGTTGGTTATTTTGCTGTTTCACACTGCCCTCCCCCCAATCATAAAGCCTCTGACGTGCCTTATGGAGAAGATAAGTGAGTTAGATTAGCTTTGTCTACGCACGAGCTATCTTGCTGCTGGCTGTAAGTTCAGTGTTAATGAATCAACAATATATATTCAATAAGGTGCCTTTAAAGAGAAACACAGACAATACAGGTCGATGCACTGATTAGTGCAAGAAGCTGTTGTGACCGGGGGCTTGCAGGAACCTAATCCTGTATGTCCTCTGAGTGGGAGCAACAGTTCAGGGTAGTACCCTTAAACTCTGTGTTCACAGTAGTTACAGAACATAACCACAGTGAGTAGTGAGAGCTGACTGTATTTCTTTCCTTGGTTTTGAATTGTCTCGTAGTGCTTGTGTTACGCCTGTATTTTGCCTTCCTCGGGATGATCGTGTTCCCTACGGAGCACAGGCTGGGTCTCCTGTAGCAGACTGGGTGGGCCTACAGGCAAGGCCACACCACAGTGCCTCCCCCGCCTCTGTGGAGGCTAAGTTCCGGTCACTCATTCAGGAGTCGGCTCCCTTCCTTCCCACTGACCTTTTGAGTCAACCAGTGGTAAAGTCTTTGCCGTGGTGGTCTGGAGCAGGGTTTGCAACTCCCCATACGTGCAAGAAGCAGAAACGAACTTCACATCACGTACCATGATGTCTTCAACAAAGATTGTAAATTTGCTATGGAGGGAGAAAGCATGGAGGGGGCAGGGTTAGCCCCACCACGTGCCCGTCCCTTTGCTGGCCCTTCCGTTCCTCCCGTGAGGTTTGCCATTGGGTCGTTCACAACGGTTATCAGGTAGGCGGGAATGGAAAAGTCAGTCACAAGCGGCGCTTGCACACATTGGCCCTGACGTCAATCTCAACCTCAGACTCTCCCATCCCCACCCCATCGGAGCTGCACTAATTCCAGCTGGTGCCCCTGACCTGAGCTGGTTCCAACCAAGGTCAGGCAAGTAGGGTAGCTTCTTGACCTGGATGATGCTGTCATACAGGGAGGGCTGCAGGCTCTGAGCCACCATGTTGGCCAAGATAACAGCCACCATCATGGGTAGGATGTGCGCGATCTGACCCGTTAGTTCGAAGCAGATCACAGCCGTGGAGACTGTGTGGGACACGGCCCCGGTCAGCGCTGCCGCTCCTAGAACGAGACACAGGGATGTGTTGGTGGATTCGCGCTGCAGTTCCTGGCGCGCGGGGCACATGGGGATGTGACGAGAGTGACACAGAGTGGGTCAGTGCCAACAGTCCCGAGACAACCGTGTCCAGAGTAGGGACTAGAATGCTGAACTACTGCAAAATCATCATTTTGATCTCATCCCACGGCCTTTGACAAGACATGAAATCCTTGTGTGTGCCTGCATTTTCATTTGTAAGATGATGATAGTGATGCACTAGCTATTCCTGGTTTTTGCAAATTTGCATCATTCTTTTTAAAAAATAGTTTATTTATTTTTAGAGAGGGGGGAGGAAAGGAAAAAGAGAGGGAGAGAAACATCAATGTGGGAGGGATACATTGACTGCTTGCCTCTCACACGCCGCCCCCCACCTCCACCTCAGGGACCTGGCCTGCAACCCAGGCATCTGCCCTGACTAGGAATTGAACCAGCAATCTTTCAGTTCACAGGCTGGCACTTAAACCATTGAGCCACACCAGCTAGGGCAGAAAGTTTGTATCACTCTTAACTGAGCATTTTAAAACCTAGTGATGGCATTCTACTTGGGACCTCAGGTTTGGAGCCAACACTTTGTGAGACAGTAAGGTCATCATACGAGCAATAAAGCTGGTTAGTGCTCCTTCATCTAGATGTTATAGGCTTTCAGTGAAGAGAGAAAGGAGGGAGAAGGCACAATAATTCTGGGGATTTACACTGATCACTGTGTTAGACATGGGTTTCATTGGATGGGATGATAGATATAATGAAACAAATCAGAGATTCATAGAATGTTGGAGCTGTAAGATGTCTCAGAAGTCTCTAAGGGTCAGAAAGGCAGCTAACTTTTCCATGCCCACCTAGGTGACAAGTGGCAAGGATGGGTCCAGAGCCCATGTTTCTCAGCTTAGTCACGTGCCCGTAAGTCCCGTCAATATTGACACATCTGCAAGGTGAAAGCAGCTGAGCCAGTCACCTGCACTGTTGTTTCCATGATTCTTTGGAAGGGAAAAAAAAAAGCCTTACCAAACATTGACCCACAATCCTAGGTGCCTTTATCCCTGTCTCATTGAATACCCATAATCCCTTTTATGCATGAAGAAACTAAGTCTCACAGACACTCAATAAATGTATCGAGAGTCAGAACCAAGGGCTGATTATTTGAATAGAAGCTGAATTAAATAGCATTAAATTACAGCCATATCGTGTAGCCCGGAATGAAGATGGCATGGAAGACTCAGAGTGTGGACATCTGCAGGATTCAGTATTTGGTTCAGGGAGGGTGGGATGGGTCTCACCAATTACTGCGTAGCCCCCAGGTAGGATCTTGTAGAGGATGCCATCAAATAAGATACCATCAGGAAATATCATGGCCATGATCTCTCCCACCAGCCTTCCAAATGCAGCTCCTAGAGCAAAGGCAAAAGGAAGGAAGGTGTTGAGAGATCCAAGCTCCTTGCCGTCTGTGTTTTCAGCGCCAAACCCTCCTTGGGTGCTGAGACCAAATACAGGCCCCTAGCATCGCAGGCCTTTCCTTGTTTTCCCGGTTCCCTAGGTTGTAGCTCTCGGTACGGTCCCAGGCTCCCCACCAGGACTTACCAAGCACGAACACAGGCATGAAGCCCCCGCAGGGTATGGGCATAGTGGTGGCCACGATGGACATCCAGAACTGGGGTAAAAAGAGACATCAGGACACCCTCTCAACTCTGCCCAACACACACACACACACACACACACACACACACACACGTGCACACTCAACCCCCTTCCCACTGTCCTCTTCCTTGCTGCTTCAAGAGTCACAGAAACGCTGGGATGGCTCATCCTTCTGAAAGCCATCGCGCCTGCTCCCCTTCATCCAGAACTAAAAAGCATGGAGTTCTCAGGCTGAGAGATCACCAAAGACAACACTGGTTTCTCCAGATGGTTAACCCCAAACCCTCCTGCTTGGAGTGACTCTATTTGCCTTCAGGCAATCTAGAACAAGGAGTGGGGCCTCAGAAGTCCCCTGTCACTGCCCCCAAAGGACCCTTGCCCACTGTAACCCCTTCGCTTCGAAGGGTCACCTCAGTGGAAGAGCGTGAAGCTCGTGAAGCTGAAAGATATCTTTTCTTGGTCAGATTATGTTTCTGCAAAAGATTCCCTGATGGAAATGGCAGACACCTTCAAGTCTTAGTGAGTTACTGAGTGACTAATTGATTTTTAATGCTGTTACTTACAAAGCCATTTTTATGGTGAACCTCACAAGGGAAACTGGTGTGCACGTCCCTGCCTGAGCCATTTCCTGTGACGTCAAGTCACTTCAAACAAAGGATCTATCCTGGGCCGGGCACCTGGAGAAAGCCAGGTGAGTCAGCCGCTGTAACAGAAAAGATCTTCAAGGCCAACTTTTTCAGGTAGTATTGCCATAGAAACTGGGATAATTTTAGAAAAAGCAATACATGCGTTTTATGGCAAAAGAATGCAAAAGAATTTCGATATCCAGTGAAAAATGGAGTAGTGCTTGAACTTTGATGAGACATAGTAGGTAAATTAAACAATAGATTTACATATCTCTTCCAAAATAAGTAAGCCAGTCTTGGAAAAAGGATCTCAAACTGACTCGGTGAATGACGGTAGCAGCTAAAGATCAGAACAAAGTGCCAGGATCAATGTTTTTATAATTTAAAAAAAGGGCACCTATTGCATTGTAGACTAATGAGAAATAAATCTCTTGATTTCCTGAACCTTAGAAAGAATTCTCCTGAGCCAGGGCTGACCTCAAGAGAAAGTGACAAAGGATCTGAGAAGATTCGTCCCAGAAGCTCTGAGATAAGGCAATATACATACTTCTTCGTGTCAGAATCTGGCTGTCTAAAACAGGTGAAAACTGAAACGCTAATTGTACAGATGAAGAGAACATAGGCTGAGAAGTTCTTGAGTGTGTCTTGTTATCTCTGCTTTTCGTCTGTACTGGCGCAGTGCTCAGTAAGCGTGGGCAAGATGTCGGTAGGTCAGTAGGACGGAAGGGAGGAAAGAAAGAAGAAAGACTGGTCACATACTATGCAAAACACAAGAAAGCTTCTCAGAGCTCCTATTTGTTAAAACACCCAACAGTAACCTCAAGCTCAAGGGGAACTTGAGGTTAAACCACAGATGTGCAGACACCCCTGGGGGCCACCACTGCAGACTGTCTGGAGACAGAGTTCTGGGCCCTTGTAGTTTTAGCTTCTTAAGTGACTCTGACCTATACCAGTCTGAGACCCCTTGAGCTATTCTGTATCACATCTTTGGAACAAGCACACAAGGGATTTTGCAAAGCCATAGAGATTTGTAGGCTCCGGTCAATCTAGAAGTTTCTGTAATACAGATAATAGGTGGCCAGAGGGTCTGATTTCAGAGGATGAACTTTAGATTATTCGCCTCTAAGATATGTGTCAGGGCAGTGTCAGGATCAGAAGACATTGAAATATCAAGTCCTATAGCATGAAGAATGACACATGAGATGAGTCAACAATTTGAGCTAGTAGCACAGGAAAGGAAAGCTCCAGAAGCAATGTAAGTGATGTGGGACACAAAAAACTCCCAAGATTTGAAATTCCAGACACCTGGGAAATTAGGGAGCCGTGATCACAGATTCCACTTTACTTAGACCCTTCACAAGAAGGCCTGAGCCATGTGGCGCTCCGGCAAAGAGGAATTCTGCAAAGCCTTGGGCCATGCTGAGAACTCCCCCGCGGTCCTCAGCAATCACGTTAGACTTATTGAAAGGGAAACCGAAGTTGTAATTACATTCACACTCATTGTAAAAGCTCCTGGCTTACAACATAATGATACTTTCCATGTTCTAAGATTGAGGAAGATGGATGTTCCCTTCATCAACATAATACAAAAAAGTTCTGAGCTGAGAATCTGACCAGCCTGCGCTGGTGCTGGCAGAGACCACATAAATTTGAAATCAGACTGTGGAAAAATAGTTCTAGCCACTTTCATATTTTGATGTGGCTGTGTAGCCGACTGCTTGAGCTCTGGAAATGATAAGGGTATGTTTATGTGTCCAATGACAGGGCACTGAAACATGCCATCGTAATTAAGTAATATCATGGATTTATAGCCATGAATGGTTTTATGTTTATATATATTATTATCTTTTAAAGATTGTATTTATTTATTTTTAGAGAGGGAAGGGGGGAAGATAGAGAGAGAGAGAGAAACATCAATGTGCGGTTGCTGGGGGTCATGGCCTGCAACCCAGCCAGGCATGTACCCTGGCTGGGAATCGAACCTGCGACACTTTGGTTCGAAGCCTGTGCTCAATCTATATATATTATTTTTACAAAATCATAGGCCTGATGCAAACTGTTGGGCTTGAAATAGAGTCAAAGAAATGACTGAATTTCTCTTCTTGATACACTTATGATACAAACATTTTCAAAGATGTAATTCAGTGAGAAATGAATAATAGTGACACACAGCTGAGTCTTTCTTTATAATCCAGGGCATTTCTCAGGATAAGCTTTAATCCATGAAGTGCTACCCAGATACATACTTGGGAATCCTGGGAGGTGAGATGATGTGTGGGGGAAATATTGAAAACATACAGTATTTTGTTTCTCCAAAAATTTTCAAGAGCTTGACACTTTAAAAGTACATGTGTCCCCAAAGTTACCATATAGCTCAACCTAGAGGAATACCAGAAAATCACAAGTATTACCACTGAGCAATAAATTCTGAGATGCCATCAAAACTTGGACTTGATTGCAGCCGATGGGTTTGTAGACTCAACAACAATGAGAGGAAGTTGAGATTTACAAATCAGAGAATATGAAGTCTATAATGAAAGTCCCCCCCTCAAAAAATCCCTTATAAGACACTGAGAACCGCTTTATCATAAAAATATCAAATCTTTGGAAAGAAGGAACAAAAAAAGTTAATAAGGCAGATATGCAAAATGTGGGAGCTGGTAGACCCAATCAGTTCACCTGGAGTGAAACGGGGAAGAACACAGGAACCCACAGCAAATCCTGAAAATGTAAGTTACAGGGTTGGAACTTGGTGTGTCGAGCACCTGGTACCTTTAATCATAAGATCATTGACAAGTACATCAAATGGGCAACAACAAGCAAAGAAGGCAATCAAAAAAATCCTTTTAACCATAAACATAAGATTTGTCAAAGATCAGCGATCAATTATTACATACTTGGCACATAGAAGGTATATAATAACACTTATTGATTAAATGGATAAATAAACCCACTAAGCTATTACTATATATAGTAATATATGTGTGTGTGTATATATATAGTAATATATATGTGTATATATGTACATATACACATATTACTAAGTGACTCATATCCTGGGGAAACACAGATTGGTAAAAAGTATCATGAAATAATTAATAGCAAGGTATTTAACAGCATGAAAGTTTGGAGTGCACAGACTTTTGAATAACAGCCCTAATATACAGAGGAAAATGTTGGACTCTTTGGGCAAGACATAGTAGAAATAATAAGACAATCATCAAGAAAGAAGAATATGCAACTGGCAATAGTAATAGATGTCACAATGAGGGTTGGAAATAAAAATATCTTTGTATAAGGCAGTAATTGAGAAATCTCTAAATACATGATCCTTGACAGGCAGATATGAAAATGAACCGAGAGGAAAAGAAATCGGCTTTTGTTTCCTAAATGGAGTTAGAAGAAAGTGAACCCTCACTAGCTATCAGAGTAATAACATTTATAAAAAATTGTTTATAGTCACTAATAAAACTGATTTAAGTATTTTATCTGTTTTGCAATTCTAGGAACGAGATTACATGCTAGACTGGGGGGACATGGATACGCAAATCAGCTAAAAATGGATACACGGAGAATGGAGTGCCTAATTATCTAATATGTGGGGGGATTCGATTAATTTAGCTGAGGTTTCTACAAAGCTATCCATTTTGCTGAACTCCATCTTGTCCTTGTTTATTCGGCTGCTGTGGTGGCTTAATAATTTAGCAAGCAGAACCTTTGGAAAGGTTGTAAGAATTGCGGCAGCATCACTAAGGTGACATGAACGGGGCGGTTAACCTAGATATTGATTCACTTTCATTCACGAGTAGCTTGTGCTATGGTTTTCCAAGCTATTTCCCTTTGGGCTGGACGAGCAACAGATGGAGTTTCGCCCTCCCTCACCTCGTGCAAACCCTGGGCTCCTAGGCGGAAAACAAACAGAAGCTTCGAGAGCGGAGGGAGAGGTACCTTCATGATGAAGAAGAGGAGAATGATGATGACAACGTTGACCTGTGGGTGGATCCACACCGCTGACTGGCCCAGGCTTTTGGGGTCACCTGTGTGTTTTACCCACGTGTTGTTGTCAAACAGGGTGCTGATGGCCTCCCGAGGCATCAACTGCGAGAGGAGGAAGCGAAAAGGGGTGGGTGGTTCTCCCGGGACACTTGGTGCTTCCTCTTTGTAGAGAACTGATTCCCAGTCTCACTTTGCAGGGGTCCCTTCTGCCCTTTTCTCAGGGACAGATTCTATTCCCGGCTAGAAGGTCACACGGCTCAGAAGCCCCAGGGACACCTGTGCTGCTTCCCCTTCTCCACACGGCCCAGTCCTGGCTTAGTCCCCAGGGGGTCAATGTGCTCCGTGGCCTGACCCCACCCTCAGGCTCCCTTGCAGCTGACCTCTCCAGCCATGAATTGACCCACTCCTGGTGGAAAGGTGAACGAGGCGATGACAAAGGTGACAATTCCAGGATACAGCAGGCGGCTGAAAAAGAAACAGGATGAATGACCCCCTGAATTTAACCCCCGCACAGTGGACACCACACCAAACCCTGGCAAGCTGAAGCTCCCTGCGGTCCACAGTAGTTTCGGTTCCTTAAACACAGAGTGTTCTCTCCACCAAAGTGCTATCTCCACAAGTGAAAGAAACCACACCATTTGTCCCCTATGTATAGCATCAGGGCTTCTGTATTGTGTCACAAGCCACCAAAAGGCATTCAATGCCTTTCGCAAAGATTAAAAAAAAAAAGGAACTTGCGGAGAAACCAGAGAGTAAGTGGGAAGGAATAAGGAAGGGCGGTGACTCACTGCTTAGCAAGAAACTGGCTGAGGGCCTTGTGCTTTCGGACACCCAGCATGACCTGACGGTGCAGGTACACAAACACAGCTCCCAGGAACCCGCAGCAAATCCTGAGGGTGTAAGTTGCACGGGAATGACACTCCCATCCCTCGGACCCAGCCATGGGAGGAACGAATACCAGGCACCTGCCTTCCCTGTCTACCTACCTCCCCCCGACAATTTACAATTCATCCACGCGTGCCTCACCTTCCTCCCAGCTTGGGTCCCTTCCACCCAAAGCCACACCCGCCCCCCTCACCACGCCCAGGGCAGGTGACCCCACTGACCCGATGACAGCAAAGGCTGGGAGTTCCTGCAGGTCAAAGGGGAAGTCCATCCGGAAGTTGGTTCTGAAGAGAGCGGTGATGGTGACTACAGGAGGGAAAGGCCCGGGATCATGGCGGGAGTGTCACAGACAGCCCCACAGAGGGAACCCGAGGCGATCAGCCTTAAGGATCCTCTCCTTTCTTCCTCCAAGCCCAGTGTCTCCTCTTCTATTTCATGTCTTCTTTGTACGCACAGCCAGTGCCCCCCTGCTCCATGGCCTATCTCCCCATCCTGTATCCTCGGCCCACTTCCCAAATAAAGCCACCATCTGGTCCTTTCGTGCACTGCCCCACAGAGCTTCCCTCCACGCCCCATGGCGTGCCTCCCCATTCACGCGCCTCCACCCCAGGGCTCCCCGTTACCAGCATCCTTGTTCCACACGGCCAAAACGCGGAAGACAAAGGCGCTGAACGTGGCTGCAAAGAACCCTCTCCAGTAGTTGTGCACAGCAAAGTACGTAGACGTGACCTCGATGCTGAACAGCACTCCTGCAGGGGCATAAACGTAGGGTCGGGTGCGGACAAACGAGACAGGCTCTCCCCTACACCCTGGCCCCGTGGACCTCTTCAAGTCCATGCTCTACACCATATACCTAATCATGGTGGCAGCGTTTTGCAACCCAGAGATGTGGCTCAACAAGATACAGAAAGGATGGGAAATGGGGAAATGGGCGGCCCTCAACCCACAGAACGTGAGGATCAGGTGCTCATGCTCTTAGAAAGTAGGGCTGGGTGAGATCCACAATGTCAGATGTGCACAGGGATTGAAGGGCCACTGACAATTTTGTGCATAAAAGTTATGAGAGAGAAATCATCCAGAGCAGGTGCTCGCCAGAGTTGCCGAGCTGGGCTCCAGATCACAGGGACTCTCCTTAACAACCCACCGACCCCTCCTCCTTCCTCCCATGTACCGTGTACCCAGGGCAACTTTCTAAGGAAGAAATAAGAAAAACGAATAGGAAAGGTCTCCCTAAGAGCTGACAGCACTCAACAGTCCCAGAAAAGAAAGTAGAGTGTTCATCCACATTTTAAAAAATTTAATAACTTGACTTAAAAGGACCAAAACAAGGGAAAAACGAAGAGGCTAGAAGTTAAAAATAACTGTGCTTGCAAAGAGTGGGTGAGGTAGAGGGAAAGCTAATTAATAGCCCTAAGTAGTGCTGTTTCTGGGAGTAGATGCTGGCACAGAAAATTAGGAGGTGGAAGTATAGAAAAACAGCAACGGCTGGTGGGGATAAAGTTAGAAACACAAACAAGGGCACAGAAAGCAAGATTCAGGAGATGAGAAGAAAATCATCTTCCAACACGTTAGACGCAAAATGAAAATTCAATGAGAAAATCACCTAACACCTAGCTACGGCTCACCTTGATGGAAAACAAGGAAGGGCAACCAGGGAAATACAGCCCGTGATTAGATGAACGCAGAAGAGGCCTGACCCCAAGAAAGACCATGAACTGGGTGAGGCTCACCCCCTCCTTGCTCTCCATGGTGACCCACTGCTGCCCTGTGACCCAGCCCCCTCACCCTGCCTCCCTCTTCGGGTGCCATCGCACCTCCTAGCCCCTTTCTTCTGCCCGTTCTACCCTCAAAGTCCCATCTCTCGAGTCCCTCAGGACCCCTGCCCCTCTCTTCCAGAGATGACAGCCCACAGGTAGACAAGTCCCTTGCAACAAGAGGAAGGTGGCCTGACGGTTACCCCCTCATGGAGTGGCCATAGCATTTGGGCAGAGGACTCCTAGGGGTCAGCTCAGATGTCACCTTGTTCGGGAAGCCATCCCCAATCCCTGTCCTCAGGTAGAAATAGTCCTTCCCTCACCTTGTTCTCTGGGAGTTTTGAACTAGCAGAGCACTTACCATGTTCGGATAGAGTTATTAGTTTGTAGCTCTGAGTTTCCCCTAAGAATGAGAGGACCCTGGACCCCAGCACTTAGTACAGTGCCTGGTACATAATCAGGCCCAACGCCTGTTGTATGGATGAACAGAAAAAGAGAGGAGAGGAGGGGAGAGCCGGGGAGGAGAGAAGGAAGGAAGAGAACAGAAGAGAATAGGATGGGTGGAATTTCAGAAAACAGGAATGAGGGAACGAGGAATCTGGGGCAGACAGAGCTTTGCCAACCACCTTTCTGGCCCTGCTCCTCGAATCACGCCAGGTGAGGCAGCGCCTTCTCGCTCTCAGAGGTGGGTTCGACGAGGTAGAGGCTCGGGGGGAGGGAGTCTCTATCCTTTAGCAGCAGTAGAACCCAAGACGGCTTGGATTTGTCTGGGTATGAACTATCCAACTTACGAGCACTTGACAACCATTTTTTGAAATCCTAGGCAAGATTTCCTTTCCCACGGTGTGGCTCCGGGACACTCCCCCCGACAGCCTGTCACCGTATCCTCAGGAACGAGAACTAATGTTAGTATTAGCCCGAGCCAGACAGAAGACGTGCTACTGAGGAAACGAGGCTGCGACGACACAAACAGCCTCTGGAGACGCTCCGATGGCGTCAGCTCTGCACCGTGGCTCTCTCCTCCCACCCCGGGGGCTCTCCTGGGCCTCTGCCCACCCCAGGGTCTTGTTCTTGGTCTCCCATTCTTGCTACTCACAGATACACTCTGTCTCTCCAGTTCCGTTCTGCCCCTAGACTCAACCACCCCCGACAGGCTACTCTGTGAACAAAGCTGTGTTTTCAGCCCAGTTCCTGAACTTCAGCCTCACCAACCCGGCCACCTATTTGATACCCCTTGGATATGCCACGGGAACTTCAAATTCCACACGTGCAAAGTGAAACCTATCAACTCCCCAGACCTGTTTTCCTTCCTGGATTCCCTCTTCTGGTTATTACCCCTGGCCACCTGTCTCCTGGTTAGGAACTTGAGAGTTAGCCAAGGTTCCTCCTTTTCTCTTATCCTCCATATACATCCTCACGTGGCCCCATCGCCAGGTCACATCGATTTTACTGTTTATCACCCATATATGTGTGTCATCCTCTTCTCCGTCTCTTCTGCCTCTGCCCAGTCCAGTCTCTCATCATCTAGCGTCAGGACAATGAGAGCAGTCTTCTCGTTAATCTTGGGTTAAACCTGTTAATCCACAGGCCAGTTCTATCCTGCACATACATATCAAAGGGACTGGATCACCATGCCAAGCTGGCCAAGTCACTTCCTTGTTCAGAATTCTCCCATGGCTCCCCTGCACTTGGACAGCGTTTCCCAAAGTCATGTCCGGGAGATGCTATGCGTCTCTTGAGAAGGTCCTTGGCAAAAGGGATTTTGTGGGGTTGCCAGGTAGGAGTGGGCCGTGGGGGACTGGGTAAAAAGGGGAAGGGGTTAAGAAGTACAAATTGGCAGTTGCAGAATGGTCATGAGGATGTAAATTACAGCATAGGGAATATAGTTAAAAATAATTGTAATAACTATGTAGGGTGTCAGGTGGGTACTAGACTTATTGGGTGGGGAAGCACCTCATAAGTTATATAAGTGTCTAACCACTATGCTGTACACCTGAAATGAATATAATATTGAATTTCAACTGGGAAAAAGTCAAAAAAGAAAAATAAATTTAAAAACACATTTGGGCATGTAGCCTAGAGAATAAATAAAATCTATTTTCTTGTGCGAGTTCATGAGAACCTTCATGAGCTCGTCCCATTTACCTGTCTAGACTCATTTCCTGTTATTCCTCCCCCCTGCATCTTTTAGCAATACTCACCAAGTATAATTATAGCCCCCGGGGTCTTTTTTTTTAAATCCTCACTGGAGGATATGTTTTTGTAATTGATGAGAGAGAGAGAGGGCGAGAGGGAGAGAGAGAGAGAGAGAAACATCCATGTGAGAGAGAAACATCGATCAGTTGCTTCCTGTTGCACCCTGACCGGGGATCAACCCACAACCCAGGTATGTGCCCTGGACTGGAATCCAACCCACAACCTTTTGGTGTACGGGATGATGTTCTAGCCAACTGAGACACTGGCAAGGGCACAGCCTCCAAATCTTGACCTTGCAATGTTGTCTCTTCTGTCCAGAGTACCCCACCTTCACTGTCTTCCTTAAGTGTCAGATCAAACACTATCTCTTTATTTTTATTTTTATTTATTGATTTGAAGTAGAGCATGGGGAGAGAGGGAAGGGAAAAGAGAGAGAAAACTTGCTTCGTTGTTCCACCTATTTATGCATGTGCCTTGACCAGGGATCGAACCTGCAACCTTGGCATATGGGGACGGTGCTCTAACCAAGCTAGCTGGCCAGGGCAAACACTATCTCTTTTGTAAAGCTCCAATGCCAATCCCTTTCCCCTCTCAGCCCCCACACCCAGGCAGCTTAGCAGAAAGTTCCCACTGCACTTGTCCCGGCTGCCATGAAGACACTTCTGTGAGTGGTGGGCTGCCTGCCTGCCTGCCTGCCTGCCTGTCTAGTCTTTCAAGGTGAGCTCCCAGACAGAGCACAGGATCCACCCGGCACAGCACCCTGAGGGCAGCACAGAGCACGCGCCACAGATGCAAACAGGTGTTTGTCATTTTGGTAGAATGCTGAAGTCTATTTCTTTCCACTGGGTAAGGAATTAGGAGTGGACTAGAAAGTGAATAAATGGTTTTAATAATAATTTTTTCTTTTGTAAACCATGTTCATAAAATGATACCAGTCAAGTAATGTTATCTGCAAGTCCATTTAATATTTGCCACTTAATACAAACATTCTGAAAATGACCTCTTAACTTTCCAATGCGGAACGTTTTCTCATGTCAAGAGTCATGCTTTGTTTGTTTTTGCAGGTTTTAGAGCCGTGTTTTATCTGTAGCTTTCCTGTGGTCTCTCCTGTACATACACGGGGCCAAGAAGAACCTTCCTCATTCATCCTAGAAATTCCAATCTTAGGCAGAAAATTCAGATGCTCTTCACTTTTAAAGAATCTAACTACAGACAAAAACACATTTTTTTTGTAACCTGTCTAAAAATGTCCTTTAGACGTTCTGGATTTGTCAGGTGAAAGAGTAAACAAAGGTGAAAGTGGCTATAAACATTAAGTGTGAACTGTAACATTTGTAAAAATTTCTAACACACTACCCTTCTTCAATGGGGACCGATGATTCTAATGCCAAGAGCTGATGACAGATGGACAAGCAGGGTAGCAGCCGAAGCGCCTGCTGACCTCATCTCCTTCCACGCTGCACCCTGGCACCGTGTCAGGACGAGTGGACACGGTACATCGTCATGAATTCTGAGAGCTTCTCCCTGTCATTCCGGGGCCAAGACTTCTTAGCTCCCGGAAGACTCCTCTATGAAAGCACTGATCACATTTTTGTAGTTGAAAAGATACCTCTAAACAACGGGTGCCTTTCAGAAACATATGCTTTTTCCTGAAATTGTGTTTCTCTCTTTGTCAACGGGGTGTCCTTTCTGTCACCAAGGAACCCAAGGCCTGGCCGATAGAATCTCTGCTGTTAGTCTGGTTACAACAGGTAATGAATGATGAGCAGAGAAACACATACCACTGCTTTCTCTGACCATGCCTACCGGCCGGTCATCCACGACAAGAAAAACACTGTTCTCTCCTTGCTGCTCTCTAATCTCAGCCTCACGCGGCTTTTGGCAGGAATGCACGTAAAGTGCTCAGAACATTGCCTGCGCATAACAAACTCCCTCTAGAAGTTAGCTATTCTCCTTACACCGTGGTTTCGACTGGTAATCCTTGCACCTGGGGATGCTGACAGTAGCCTGGGGAGCAAGGCCGGCGAGCGGACTGGAGTAGGAGGGGTAAACCACTTGCCTCCAAGGGGGGTCCCAAAGCAACAGCCGACTCCCACGGCACAGCCCACCGTCAGCATGTCCGTGTAATAGTATGGCTGCTACTAGGGGAGAGACAGATGGAGAGAGAGAAGGGAGGGGTGAGGTAGGGGGGCAGAGAGAGGGGAGGAGAATGAGCAAGGGTGGGGAATGAGGCGGAAGGAGAGACTTCAGTCACAGGGCATCGTGGTGCTCCCACTGCCCCCTGCCATTCCCAGGCCAAGACAGGAAGTGACCTCAGAGCGCAAGGCCAAACACAGAAAATGAAATAAATCTAGGTAAATAAATGGTGGGCAGGTAAGCCAAGAAGTGATCACCAGAGTGAGGCTGGAGGCGGGGATAATCAGGGAGAGGAGTGTCAATAGCAAGAAGGCCAGGAAAGGACTTCAGACAAACAGCACTATCAATAAAGCCTGCATGAAATAGCCACCAGCCTCAGAAGAACATACAGTCCTTTGCTGGAAAAGTGTGGGTGCCTGGAGCCCAGCGGCTGAAGGCCCACCTACCCATCCCTCCAGCGAGCAACCCTTTCCACCCCGAAGCTGTGGCAGCCACCCAGACTCCCCTTCCATGTCATGCTCAGGAAAGGGGTGGGAGGAAGTGGGACTTGCCTCGGACAGGGGCTGCCAAACGGCACCCCACACCCACTGTGCAGGCCGGCGCCAGGAGGTCAAGCTGCCCAGGCACAGTCTGCAACAGAGAAGCGCGCAGGACAAGGAGGGCGGAGGGCTGGGGTGAAGGGGCCGTGGTAAGAGAGACAGGGTGAGGAACTGGGGACGAGAAGGGGACAGGGGCAGCACAGGAGGGAATCGTGGACAGGAACTGACGTGGCGGGCGGGGAGTGTGGACTGGCAGGTTAGCACAGGAGCGGGCCATGTGCAGGCTCGAACGCAGGGGTGCAGAGCAAGAAGGAGGGGGACATTACTGGACAGACACAGGCTACACAGAGGCATCAGGTGGCGAGGACAGGCGGGGGAGGGGGTGGAGACAGCGGAGCATGGGTTAGCGCCATGCTCCGTTTCAGCGTCGCGGCCAGCCCGGAGCAAAGGCAGCCCTCCCGACACCCTGAACACACACAGCCCCGCCTCGTTTTACTTTCTCAGCCTTACCTCATGGACCCCTGAAAGCACAGACATGAACTGGCTGAGGACAGCCGCACAGATGCTGGCAATGTGGACAAAGGGGCCCTGGGAGAAAGACGGGGAGACGGAGGGGCGGGGTCAGGAGCAGGGTCCAGACAGGAAGCTTTGGCGGCATTGGCCGCGCTAACATTGACTGCCCCCAGCAGCACCGACCGCACTAGGTGCTGGAAACACAGAAGTGAGTGATACAGATGTCCTGCCCTCACAGAACTTCATCCCAGAGAGAAAGGGAGGTGATAGATGGGCATTTTATTATTTCAGAAAATTCCAAGGGCTGGGAAGAAACTGAGGGAGGGCAAAGGGACAGAGACAGACGGGCCAGAGGAGGCGGAATGGGGATGTGTTCAGAGACGGTGCTACGAGAAGGTCACAAATGAGCAGTGTCGTGCTGAAACAAAGGCATGAGCCGCGTGAGAATCGGGAGGAAGATGATTCTCGGCCGAGGGCACAGCACGTGCAGGAACCCTGAGAGGGGGACAAGCGTGTATGGTCGAGGGACAGGAAGAAGGCCTTGATGCCCCAGTACAGGGAGTGTGGAGCAGCCTGGGAGGACAGAAGAGGGACAGAGAGGAGTCAGGCCCCCACAGGCCTCTGAGGCCCCAGAGAGAGCTCTGGGTTTTATTTTAAGAATGGGAAACCGTTAGGGAAGTTCTTGCACAGAGGTCAGATGTTGCTGCTTCCACTCTGAGAAGACCCTGGCTGCTGTGTGGATTATCGCCAATGGGAGCAGGACAAGAAGGCACATGAGCACAACCTTGAGGACAGCACAGCTTCTTTCTAGGTCTCAGTTGTCTGTCACATAATAAAACAAGGGCATCGGGCCCTGGCCGGTGTGGCTCAGTGGGTTGGGCACTGGCCTGCACACTGAAAGGTCGCTGGTTCAATTCCTGGTCAGGGCACATGCCTGGGTTTCGGGCCGGGTCCCTGGTTGGAGGAGTGTGAGAAGCAGCCAATCGATTTTCTCTCACACACTGATGTTTTTCTCTCTCCCTCTCTCCCTCCCTTCCCCTCTCTCTAAAAATTAAATAAATAAAATCCTAAACAAAAAAACAATGGCATCCGTCTGGAGTGTCTCTTCAACTGCAGCAGATCCCCACCCCCACCCCAGGGGACATTTGGGAATGTCTGGAGACACCCTGGTGGCCACACTTGGGAGCTGCTGCTGGCATGGAGGAGGCAGAGGCCAGGGAGGCTGCTAAACAGCCTCCCCCATGTGGGACCGCACCCCCAAGGCAAGGTCACCCAGCCCAGGTCACGAGGCTGCTCCAAGGCCCTGCCGGCGCTGACGGTGCTGCTGCTCTGCTCCGGACGAGGACCTTGCAGGCGCTTCCCCTCCCTGGTTTCCCTTGTGCCCTCAGCCCTGGCTCTGGTCGCTGTGCCCAGGTCCACGTCTGCTCCCAGGGCCACCCTGTGCCCAGCTCACACCTCGGGGACGGCCACCTACCTCCTTCCCCACAGGAATGCCACTGCCCAGCCCTGCAGTCAGCGCCACGACCTTGGCCACGAAGGCCTTGAGGGTGAGATACTCCTTCAGGATGACCCCACGAAGGATGGTCTTCATTTCGGGGATCCCAGAGCCTAACAGGGTGACAAAACGATTGTGCGCAGGTTCAGGCTGGAGGGGAAAAGGGAGATGACCACCCAGACAGTGGACATGGGGAGGGGGGGCAGGCAGGGGGCTGCGGTGGGGAGGACAGTGACGAAGCAGGGACGAGGGCTGCCGGTAGGGCTGGGGGAGGGAGGAGGTCGGGTGGAAGGGTCCACAGGACAATGAGATTACGCTGAGGACGGGACCTGGGAGGCCACCCGGGGAAGTTCTCACCAACAGCCTGGGGAGAGATGAGGTGGCAGAAGAGAGCGCTGAAGAGGATGAGAATTAGTGGGAAGGTGACCCAGATCAGGTACTGCAGCGGCAGGCTAGGCTGCATCTGGTAGTAGGTCCACTTGTAGGCTGCGGAGACATGCGCCCGGGCTCAGGGCGGCGTGGATGGCAGGTCGCCGCCATCGCCCTCAATCCCGCCCCCCACCCCGCTACCGCACCGCACCCCACCCCACCGCACTCCTCCGCGCCCCCATCCAACCTCACCTAACTCCACTGCACTGCCCCCCTCCCCCCGCACTGCGCCCCACCGCGCCCCACTGCACAGGAGCATGCTCTCGCCAGGACTATCTCATTGAATCTCGCGAGATGATACTATTCTCACGGAACACGTGTGTGGGAAACCTGAGTCACTGGAGGTGCTCTGAGCCATTGCAGTTCCCCCATGCGGAGGAGGTGGCGGCCCCGCCACAAGCCACAGTTGAGCTGAGGCTGCGGCTACGACATTAGAGGCCACACCGGTGACCAACCGCCCCGGTGTGCCCGGAACTGAGGCGCTCCTGGGTCCCAGGATGTTCGGTGCCCAAACCAGGCAAGTCCTGAGAAAACTGGGGTGAGGGATAGAGGGGCAGCCAAAGCTTGGTTGGTGGCAGGTGGAAGGAGCAGGAGCAGTGGATCTGGGTCTGGTCCTGTCTGGTCTTGTTCTGGGCCTGATCCCCTCTGAGCAATGTCCCCTCCCAGAACACTCCCCGCTCGTCCTGGGCAGAAACTCTAGACACAGTCACCCTGTGGGGGAGAGGCCAGGGGGACAGGGCCCGTCGAAACCTACCCTGAAGGGTTTTGGCACTAACATAATCCATGCTCCAGCTAACCAGAGCCATAAGCAGTCCCAGGAGCACCAGAAAGATCCAGTCTTCCCCCAGTTTCCTCCTCACCATGCGTCCCAGGCGGCAGACGCAGTCTGGGGAGAGAGAGGGGTAACGAAGGGGGCAACCGGTCACTGCCCATGTATGTGACCGAGGACTGGAAGGGAGGACTCGTCTCTGTGTCTCAGTAATGAAGGGTCTGGTCTGAGTGTGTCATTCACTGAGTTTCTTTTCCCTCCTTGGCCAGGAGCTGCCCCTTCCGAAGGGGCCCTGATGGCTAGGTCCCTACTGGACCCTCCACTTCCTTTCCAAAACTCCTTTCTTGGGGCTGGGTGGGAGGGAAAGTGGGGGACAAGGCAAGATAAGAAGGAACTGGGGAGACATGCCTCTCCTTAACCCTGGGAGGAGGGCTTTGGGGTGCACGTGCAGAGGGGAGGCTGGGACACATGCAGTGGGACCTCCAAGTTATTCTCCAGAGCCCTGTCCCTCCTTCTGTGCCACGTTCCTTGACCGCTCTGTCCCCGTCACCTTGGCATTTAGAATAGTGGTCCTCATCTGTGCTGTCCATGGTGGCACTGGAGCCCATCTGCTTGGGCATCCCCATGTCCTGCTCCTTGTCTGAGAATTGCTCCTTGTGATGGCCATAAATCTGGACAGAGGGAGGGTGGGTAAGGTGACTTATGAAAGAGTCCGAAGGAATAGACAGAAGGAAGCACGCAGACCCGCAGAAATAAACAGCCTCTTAAAATCCTGGGTGTCGAGGGCCTGGAGGAGGGTCTCTCTGTGGGCCCCCCCCCCCGCCCTCCACTGCCCGCCGTCCATCTGCACACTCCCCTCTCTCCACCCGTGTGCCCGTCCGCACCCTCTCTCCGTCCGTACTCATCTCGGCCCATGGCAACCTTCATCAAGGAGGCCAGTTCCTACTCTGAAGTGGAGGCAGAAGAACTGTGCCTCTGTGTCCAGGAGAAGCTTTCCTTGCCACTCTGCTGTCTGTGTCCCCGCCTGTCTCTGTAACATCCCGAGACCACTCCCACCCCGACTTCCCCCTAGGGATGCTGACACGGTGGCTCTTGGCTGCCCTGTGCCTTGGCGGCCCCTCAGATGCTCAGCCAAACACAGAAAAAGCCCAGCCCTCCCTCCCTGGACATGTGTGCCCAAACAGGAACCAGTCCCGAGAAGGCAAGGGAATCTACCTCGTTTCAGAGCAGGGTAATTAGATACTCCCCAAAATGTGAGGAGGGCAGAGGAGTGGCCCTCAGGCCTGGTCGCCGCCTGCTCCCACCCCCAGGTGGAGCAGGTGTGTTCGACGTGGGGGCAGGGAGCTAGGGCTCTACCTGCGTTTGGCCTGCCCCACCCGAGCTGCACCAACGCCCTCCCCTGGGGCCAGGGTCAGGCCAGGCCTTGTTGCTGGTCCTGGGAGAGTCTGAGGAGAAGAGATCTGATTTCACAACGTGCTCAGCAGAGCTGAAGCCTGAGTAGTGGACAGGCACACACTAATTGCCCTGCTCGCGGCTGTCCCATGTCCTGGAATGAGGTTAGTGATCCAGGGAGGTCGTGTTTCCGTCCACGCCCCACCTGGGACCCAGTGAGCAGGCGCTACCTACCCGCGGCACTCAGTGCACGCCCTTCCGCAGGCCGCCTCTCTCCCTTGGGTCCCAGGGTCCCTTGAGGAGGAGGGCTACTCCATCCCAAACCCAGCAAACACGGAAGGAGAAAAGTCCGTGCTAGCTGGTTCAGGGCTAAGCACCAGTGCAGAGCAGGGCTGGGGAGGGGAGGGAGGCATCCAGTCTGAAAGGGGAGCGGCGTGTGGGCTCGGTTAACGAGAACGTGGCGGTGTGTGGAGGGTGCTGCATGTGGGCGAGGGTGTGAGGGAGCTTGCACGAGCAGAGACGTGGGCTCCTCGGCCAACCACCCGTGGAGCTTATGTAATGAGCACGAGCTCCTGGTGCGTGTGCGGCTCTGCCGTCCCCATAGGATCGGGGAGATCTGCTAGCAAAGGTTACATAAAAGGACGGACGTGTGGATACTGAGCTGGGCCCAGCCCTTCTAACAATCGCCATATTTTGAACACATTGCCATGCACTTTGTCAGTTAAAAGAAAATCAACACTGCTCCTTCTTTTCACTCAGTTCCTAATTTCCCCCAATCCTTCACCCCACTGGCCCCTCCACCCCGGCGCCCCCTCCCCTTATGACTTTACCTGGCGGGGGTGGGAGTTGGGATGGGGGCCTGCATCCTTCCGGTGCCTGTGCTGGAGGGCCCCGTTCTCGGAGGGCAGTCCGTAGCTGGTGCAGTGTTCGAAGGGCACGTACTGGTACTGGGGGGCACTGCCCCACCAGCTTTGTTCGCCCCCACGCCGCTGGGACCCAGATGGCTCCATGCTCCCTCCCCTGGCCAGGCCTTGGCCTGCTTGCCCCCGTCCTGCCCCCACGACAGCTCCTTAAGCCTGTCCTCTTGCCTGTCCCCAAGGCGTCTGGGGCAGCGTGCCCACCCCCAGCTATTTATAGCTATCTCTCCATCACATGACCCCCCACACAGCCACATCTGATCTCTGCTTGGGGTCGAAGCAGGTGTGAGAGCAGTGCGGGGTGGGGAGGAGGTTGGGGTGGCGACCTGCGGGACAGCCCCGCAGGGAATTCCCTCAGCTGGGCGGCAGCACTGTCCCCCTCCTGAGTCACTAGGAGGCTCCCAGCCTCAAGCCCCTGGTCCCTCTGGAAATAGCGCCCAGACCAGGAAGGAAAACTGTGTAGCGTGCTCTCAAACCTGTGTGCGCCCAGAGCGGGTTAAACCTACACCAGGAAAGTGTCCCATCTCTCAAAAAAAGTCCCACCTCTGCTCCAGTAAGTGGAAGGTGAGGCTCCGATGCCCGAAGGTGATTCCAAGGCCCCGAAACACTGGGGAGTAACTCGCCTCAGGGAGGAACTGACGCCTCTCTGCCATCTTTCCCTGCTGCATATCCAGCCAAGGTGTGGGCCTCACCTGTCTGGCCCCCTCTCCCCACCCAGCCAATGTGCCGTTTTCTCCTCCAGCTCTGCCTTTTCTGTCTGCCGGGGGCTGTTCACCGTGCTTCAGTGCCATCCCTTGTCGCCCCTGATCTCTCACCCATTAGATGGGGGGGGGGGGCGGGGGTCGCTGTGGGAAGCAAGGAGGGCGGAGCCTAGGCTTCGGGTATTTCTCCCACTTCCCAGACTGGCCAGTGCCAGCCGCACCAGCAACCAGCATTTAGGGGGAGGGACTGAGCTTCTGTGTGGACTGAGGAGCGCCCGCGGGTCCGTCTAGCCGGGTTAGATAACGGGAAAGGGGAAGTTCGCCAGGGGCAGGGGCGCGCAGAGAGGGGAGCACTTCTCAGGACAAATATAAAGGACGATGGGGAAGCACTTTGCTGGTCTTCTCGTCTTCAGGTCAATAAGTCATGTTCAGCCAAGGACAAACTACCTGGCATCACAGTTTTTTCTCTTTTGCCAATTTTCCTAGGACATTCTTTCTCCTGTGAGCTCCTCACGATAGAAGCAAGCTAGAAACATGAGCAAGGGTGTAGTTGAGGGTCCATCGCCAAGTGGGGTCTATCCCAGGATAGTCCAAGTTCAGGCACGATAGGCCAGGGACACTAAATATATGGTCTGCAGGTAAATTGGGATCTAGGCTCTGTCCACAGCAGGTGGGAAGGCGGAAATCATCAAAAGTACCTTTTGTAACACAAATCCTCCACCCCTGAAGGTTTATAATCCACCCGCAAAGATGACCGTGTGCCCCGTTGAGGGACTGAAGGTTCTGTGATAGCCACCATCTCTGCAGGCAGAAAATAAGCAAAGAGGTCTAAGGGGTTGGTGTGAGATGAAACGAGTACTGTCTTTAAGAAAATACAGTGCTCCTGGCTGGCGTAGCTCAGTGGATTGAGTGCAGGCTGTGAACCAAAGTGTCACAGGTTCGATTCCCAGTCAGGGCACATGCCTGGGTTGCAGGCCATGACCCCCAGCAACCTCATATTGATGTTTCTCTCTCTCTCTCTTCCTCTCTCTTCCTCCCTTCCCTCTATAAATAAATAAATAAATAAATAAATAAATAAATAAATATATAAATAAAATCTTTAAAAAAATACAGTGCTACCGTGAAATTATACTTTGGGGGGTGGTGGGGAGAGGGCTTCAGAAACAGGAAAGGTTGTTTTCAACTGTTTGTGGAGTGTGGCTCTCCCGAAGGTAGCCAGTTGCTGTAGCGTCTTGATAATCCCAAGAAACAAGTATCTAAGGCAATGACTATTTCTTCACTGTTCCAGAGAAAGTTGGGTCCTGGTTATGGACTGCAAGATGGGGAGGCTAGCTCCCTGGGGCTGGGGTGGCCCTCTCACTTAACCAAGCCAAGCAGAAGCACCAGCTGCAGTTCCGAGAACCAGACTCGGAAATGAGGAAGATCAAGGACACCTACAGCGGCTAGCACAGGATGTGAGGGGCATTACGTTGAGTTTGGGATTACAAATAGTTGAGATTTCATGGGCTATCATCCTGCAAGAGAACAAGAGAATAAACTGTAGCCTCTGCCCACCCTCGCCAACCCATCCTTCCGTGGGTACAGTGCTTAGGCTCTTGTTTGGATGGACGAAGCTGAATTTCTAGGGAGTTCTGTGAAAAGCTCAATTTGGAAACAAATTCATAAGCATGCATGTATTCTGTTAGATACAAGCACTGTATAAGATACATATTCTTCTGGGGTCCATGATACTAAAAGGTTAAAGCCTGCAGGCTTCTGGACTTGCTATGGGAAGGAAGGTTGTCAAAGTGACCACATGGCAGTCATTTCTAGTCTGCTTGTTCCAGGACCTTGCCCACCAGATCCTTGAAACACCCTTGGCTCCTTGCCGTGCCCTGGGAGGCCCTGCTGACAGCACCGGGCAGGTCTCTTTCTCCCTCTTCTGGTTTTTCAAGCATGATACACTGCACCCCCACCCCCCACCCGCTTCTCTCCCAAACTAGGGCTGAGATGGAACAATAATAAAGTCTTTGGTCTCAGGTTTATTTTCCCAGCTCGGTGGGAAAAATCTATAGCTCCCAAAGGTAAGGAGGGAGAAAAATCTCCTGCCAGGAGAAAAGTCACAGAAGCAAAAAGGGCACAGTCAAGGTGACAGATGACTTCCCATGCTGCCTTCAGTGTCCTCAGAAAGGCAGTGACTCAGAGGGCCACGGAGACGGAGATAAAAGAACGCACGCAAAGAAGTGACCCCGGTGTTCCCTCCCGCGGGGAAATGTGAACTCGGGTTATTAAGCTGAAGCTCATTTTGGGAGATAGTTAATGTGTTAACACCATGTGATTTGCTGTACAGCATCACCTCTAGTCCTCACGGGGACCTTTGAAGGTAGAAATAATCTTCCTCATTTTTAGATATGGGAGACTGACGTTCGGTGAGGTTTGGTGCCTTAGCTAAGGTCTCTGGTCTCTTCAAAGGCTGAGCCAGAATTCAAAATCTATTTGATTCCAAGTTCATGCCCTTAAAGTAACATTTGCCCCTTTTTTAAAAAATTAAAACAAATTGTTTTAAATTGATTTTAGAGAGGGAGAGAGGAACATCAATTTGTTGTTCCATTTAGTTATGCATTCATTGGTTGAGTCTTATTATGTGCCCTGACCGGGGATCGAACCCACAACCTTGGCATATCAGGATGATGCTCTAACCAACAGGGTCATTTTCTCCTTCTTTGTATAATTGCAAGTCTCTGAGCCTCGTTTTCCTCATCTCTAGAATGGGAAAGTGACTGCTGTACGTGACTGGGGAGGGTGGGGAGGCTCCAAGCACCCTGCCTTGGACGTACCCACCCGTTGTCAGTTGTAGCTGCTGGGGACTTCCACCCCCAGTTAGAGGCCTTCCTCCTTTGCCCAGAACCCACTTGTTTCATTTCTTGCCATTCCCTTCCCTGTTGGAGGAAGCAGGCTGGAGGAGGCAGCAGAGGGCAGCCCCCAGCTCAGGGAGATAATTTTAGAAGAGAATCCCCTGGCAGAGGTGAGCATGGGGGAAGGGCACAGACCGTGAAATTCAACCTGACACCCTTATTCAAGGGCGGGGGTGGGAAGGACAGGAATCCAGCTCAGAGACAGATGCTGCTCTGTAATTCCCGCATTTATCACACCTCCTCCAGCCTTCCTATCCCCCAAATGGGGGCTTACCTGATTCTTGCCATTCCAGTACTTTTTTAAACCTCTCCTAGACTTCGTATCCCTCCCTCCCTTGAGGAGATCCCACTGTGGTTTCTCACGGCACCGCCAACCACAGGCCTCCCTCATGCCCGCTGCCCCCAGGGCTGGCCTCCAGCCAGTTCCCCATCTCCACCTGGCGGTGTGCTTCTGCGCTAAGGGACTCAGGAAGACACTAGTCCCTTATCCCTTCCTGCTCTACACTCAACTTCCTCCCAGGTCCTGGGGCTCTTCCTGCCGCAGTGGTCGTAGGGCATTCGCCTCTGCAGGTCTGCCCTTTAGGCACTGCCCCTGGGGAATTCCCCAAGGACACACAGCCCACTGCCTAGGTTGCTTGCTGGCTGCCCGCCCTAGAAAACCTTCCATTCAAATTGGACCATGTGAGATAAGGGATTCTAGCAGCCTCATCATCCTCCAACTCTAGCCCTCCCCGCCTACTCGAAATAATCCAGAACCAATACTGGTTGGTAACGACTTCCGGCTTTTCTGGCCATGAGACAGTCCAGTGCTGGCCATGTTTGGGCGGTTGCCCACGGTCGTGCAACTAAGAAAGACGGGCTCATCTCAGGCATGGATCTGCCCCTATTACAAATCTGGCCGCAAAATGAGAAGGGGTAGGCCTCGTCAGGGCTGAGGGATGCTGCAGGGGCTGAGTAAGGAGGCATCACGTGATCATCTGCAGACAGAGGCATCAGACGCACGTCAGTAATAAATAGGAGCGTTTATTTGGCACCCGAAGGCAATACAACATCCTGGCAGTGGGAACTGGGAAGGTTTTGTCGCCCAAGTGCTTCCATGCAGCACCGATCCGAGGGTGAGCAGGACTCAGCCCCACGTCTCCGGGCCACCTGGCTCACGGAACGAGTAGGTATTGAGCACCTCAGCTGGGATGCAGGCCGAGCGCGGTGCCGGGCACCTTGGGAGATGTGCAGGAAGTTGTCTCGCAGGCGACACATCTTCAGGAATTCATAATACCGGTGGGTGAATCAGAACACACGAAAAAACTCAGAGTATAGACACCAAACGGTGTTCAGTCAAAAGGTAGGATTCCAGCGAGGGCTGCTTCCTTCAGCAAACATGTACTGGAGCCCTGTGTGCCAGAAACTGGGTAGATGTTGGGGAACAAGAGAGACAGAGTTTTGGCTCCCGTGGAGCTTACACCCTAGTAGGGCAGACAGGGATAAACAGGGAAGCAAGTAAGTGTATCGCTACAGGTTCAGAAGAGCGCAGCGGAGGGATTACACAGAACGCAGTGATAAACACAATCACGTTTAGAGAGAATGGCCTGCAGAGGCCTCCGCGAGAAAGTGGATGTAAACTGAGGTTGAGGGACAAAACCACCAAAGCCACGAGTGGTGAGGGGTGGCGCTCAGCAGGCCCGGGAGTGTCCGCGATGGTTCGGGACAGGAAAGACACGGAGGAAGCCACTGGAGCTGTCCCTTGGAGAGCCGCAGGTGATGAGGCTTAAGGGCAGGGCAGGGGGCTCTGCAGGCTAAGGTGAAGAGTTTGGATTTTATTTGAGGATTGACAAGGAACCAAAGGGTTGCAAGCAGGGAAGTGAGATGATTCGACTTCTATTTCAAACCCCAAATCTGTCATATAGACACCAGAAGGGAAGTCAAGGAGGCCTTCAGGAACAGGAGCACCCTTTCCAGCAGAGATGAAGACGGTGCCTAGGGCAACCAACACGTCCGCCAACACAGCCAAGGCCTCCCTGGGTGGGGGAGACACACGAGGGTGGGGAAATAGGCCCTGTGAAGTCAGAAGGGGATTCGGCACTGGAACAGAAAGCAGGAACGAGGTACTATGCATTACATTTTCGAACAGCCAAATGATCCAAGCAAGCAGTGCTTTAGACAGATTTGGAGGCAGCAGTGAACAGGGTGAAATGAACAGGGGAGAACCAGGAAGCAGGGAGGTGACAACTAGGCAAGAAAGGTAAGGGCACAGGTTACAGGTGCCACCGTGGCCTGCCTCAGCGGGCACTCCCCACCAGACCCATTTCAGTAAGAGCTCAGAGGAAAGGTCTTTGGGACTTTCCTGGGCAAAGACCTATGACTGACAGATCCGAGGCACCCCAGCCCCAGCTCTGCTGAGAGCTCGGATTCCTGAAGTCCCAGGGGGCCCACAGGGGCACTGAGAAGACCGTCCTTCCCGTGGGTGGCCCTGCCGCCCTGGAGGAACACACAGGTCATTCCCACACACAGAGCAGCAGCATGTGTCCCTGGTCCTAGCTGTCCCTTCAAACGCCTACGTTAAATGAGGACACCTTCCAAACTCTCTTTCAGAAAAGTAGGCTGGGATGTGAAGGGCTGGAGGTGACCTCGGAGATGTCCTGACGTGACAAAAGCAATGACCAAAGTGCCTCCCACAGGAGCCGGGGGCAGGAAGGGAGCATGCCCATCGAGGAGACCTCTCCTGTCAACACGGCGTGTGTCCAACACCCGCTGCCGGGCTCCTCTCTCGCAGCCAAGCTCCTGGCAACCAGTCCAGCCAGGGCCGCCGCCCCCCGGGCAGCGAGCCTCCCACGGCAGGAGCCAGCCCGCGGTCCTGGACTCCACGGCGAGGAGGACAGGCATGAAACTGGCCTGGGGACTCCCAGTCCCTGAGGGGGGAAGCACAGAAACCCTAATCCTGAAGAGGCTCCACCACGCCTCCCGAGGTCCGGGATGCCCGAGGCGGCCTCACGCGGGAGGGTGTCCCGGGAACAGGTAGAGGTGCCGGCACAGGGTGCTGCAGTACTCCGACATCTCCTTGCATCGGTGGAACTCCGTGCCGGGGGCGTAGCCCTCCCGCTCCTTGATACGTCCGTTCACCTGGAAAGGCAAAAGGAGAACACCCAGGGTCCCAAGTGTGAGAGCCTGGCGTTTCCCCGGTGTCAGTTCCACAGGGAGGATGGAGACCGCACAAAGCAGGCAGGGGGGCGGGGGCGGGGCGGACACTGGGGGGGTGCATGAGGTTTAGGGCGCCAGGCGGGGCCAACTCACCGTGACGAGCATGTCGGCCACGTGCGTGTCACAAGCCCTCTCGGAGAAGACCTGAGCCAGGGCCTCGATGTACCAGGAGCCCCGTTTGGTGTTGCGCATGGCAGCCGTCCCTGCAACCAGGACAGGAGGCCCCAGTGTGAAGGTCACCCGGGACACCCTCACCCACAGGGCTGGACGTCCCAAACCAGTCGTGTGTGGCCCCTTGTTCCACCGCCCATCAGAGAGTGCAGCACCTTTGAGGCAGGCGTAGCCGCAGATCATGTCCGAGCGAGTGGGCAGCCGCATCTTCAGCAGCTCCTGCCGACCAGCGTCGCTCTCCTCGCACCCAGGGGACCGGGCGTGGCTCCTTCCGTCCTGCTGGTCGACTCCGCGGTCGGTCTCATCTGTAGGAGGGCGGACAGAGTGGACAGGGACGTTATTTCCTCCCATCTCTCCTGGGCCCGACCCAGGCAGGCCCAAGGTCCCCACAACTCTGACTGGGAAGAGCCATCTCCAGTTGTCGCCTCCAACCTAGGGCTGACGAAGTGAAACAGGAAACCCATTACCCCCATTCCTCTCCTGGCGTGCGTCTGATACGCGGGGTGCACAAACCCCTGGTCGGAGCTGTTCAGCCTGTGGGGGAAGGTGCTGAATCCCAAGCCCCTGGTGAACAGAACTAAAACGGTCTACATTCACAATTCACGTGCCCACTGAACAGTGCACCTGAAGTCACGGTGCTTTTTCATGGCAACACACAACAGAATACTGATATGTTTAGATGTTTAAAACATTTTTTAAAAAGATTTTATTTATTTATTTTTAGAGAGGGGAACGGAGGAAGAAAGAGAGGGAAACAGCAATGTGTGGTTGCCTCTCAAGCGCCCCCTACTGGGGACCTGGCCCACAACACAGCCATGTGCCCTGACTGGGAATCAACCAACGACCCTTTCTTTTGTTTGCAGTCTGGCGCTCAATCCACTGAGCCACACCAGCCGGGGCAGATAGCTTTAGTTTTATTGTAAAAGAAAAAGCAAGTTAATAAACTAAAAATATGATCACTGCATGTGCGCCACGTAAAAGTCACAACCTGAAATCTGTTATCAGTAAAAACGTTATAAAACTAAGCATGACCAGTTGTTTCCAAGGCATTTTTTGGTATTTTTTAAAACCACTTACTACTTGATTAATTTCACAAACCAAACTGTACCAGGCACCCAAGATTTAAGAGCAATTTAAAAGAGGAAAAACTTGAAGTACACTATTATTCAGTTTTCGCAGTAGTCTCTCAACCTGCCCTGAGCATGCGCCCAGCCTCCTGCCGAGGCCTTATCTACTCCCAGACTACTCCTCTTTTGATGTTTCATTTGGGCGTGTGGAGGGGGGCGGGGAATGGGGATCGGAACAAAACAGGCAGAAAACACAGCTCTTCACCCCCAAGATGAAAAGTGCGCTCTCTCACAACGCTGCTGCTCCACGGAACAGTCAAGAGAGCCTACACGGAAAGGGAAGCTTGGAGGCCCGTGGGGGAAACTTCAGCCAAGATTCACCGGTCCGATGAAAATGTGCTGAGCCGCTGCCATGTGCCAGGCACTATTTTGGTGTTAAGCCCTAGGGATCGAGTGAAGACTTCTGCCTCCTGGAGCTTCCACGCCAGCTTAGGAGGCGGCCAACCGGGGCGGGGGTGGCACTTTCTACAGACAGCGGTCACAGTGACGAGATGCGGCAGGAGACAGGGGAGCTCGCTTCCCAGGAACAGCCAGCCCTTGCTCATCCCCTGAAGAACTCAATTTTAGAAGGAAGACTCAGGTCGCCCCAGGAAAGAGCCATTTCTCCCCACGCAGACCTAGGACCGTATGTGTCCCTGAATACAGGAGACAGTGATTGTGTCTGTGCTTCACTGTACTTTGCAGGTGACACCTCCGGAGGGAACTAGGACAAGTGGCATGTGTCCCTCAAGGGAAAGGAGACTCCTCGCTTGCCTTCAGATCTATTGATCAATACACGTTACTGGTTCTTTCTTTAGGATATCCCCATAATCTGTTTTCTGTACTGCGAGACCCTTCAGCCCGTCACTCACTGTGTATTAAGGGCTACCACGTGTCTGTCCGGCCATGCTCTGGGCCTGGGAAGTCAGCGGGTGAACGGAAGTCAGTTCCTGGCCCCCAACACCCTTTTCTTAGTGCAGCTTCCTGCCATGGTGATACCAGGAAAAAATCACCGCAAATTTCTTATTTATGCTCCCCAAAGCTCCATACTATTATCTGCTGAGGCCCCAAACTCTCAGCTGTGGCTAAATGTTTATAATCAGCTGGCTGACCTCATGTGGTCAGCCACACCTCACTACATACCGTATTTTTTCGGACCATAAGATGCACCCCGGTTTTAGAGGAAAATAGGAAAAAAAAATTGAAGCAAAAAATATGGTAAAATATTTAATAATATAAATAACATAATATTTCACCAATGTAAGTGTACACAGAACTCAACAGCAGCATTAACCACCATTATTCCTCCCAAATTTGGGTGGGGGGGAGGAGGAGGTGCATCATATAGTCTGAAAAATATGGTACTCGCAGATGCTTGGTTTTTAAATTAGATCCAGGCTTGCTTCTGACTCAGCATACCATTTTGGGGGCCGGAGGGGGGGCATTCTCTTAATCTTGCCACGCTTGTCCTATTACATCCCCCCTTTACTCCTGAAAGGCTCTCTCTGCTACCCCACACCTGTGGGTCCAAGCTAAGCCTCACTCCGTCCAGAAAAACCTCTTCAAACTGAGCTGACTGAAAACGGCCCATTCCTCACATCCGACGCCTTCCTATGTAAGGTCTGCGTCTCACTAATTTTCCCCTTGCTGACTCGAGGCCTCTGGACGACTGTACACGTTCTCCATGGACGTCTGCTCTATATTCCTAGTAGTTAGCAGGCGCTTGGGAGAGGCCACGATGTCGTTTGCTTTGTGATAGTACCTGGAGTAGCCCTAGTCACGGTGCAGGACCTTAATAAGTTACATTCTTTGGTGATATTAGGAGAATAAAAGCAGTATTCATCATTTACATGTGTTGAACATGCAACAGCTTAAAAAATTATTTGAGTATCTGGACAGAGTGGCCTCTGATCCAACCACAAGCCCCTTGAAGGCGCTGGTCACGCTACCACCACCGTAGCTGGCATTTCTTGTGGATGTATTAAGAGCCAGTTACTGTGCTAAGCAAGCCCTGCACACGTATTACTTCACTTAATCATCAAAACAACCCCATGAAAGAGGCCTGATGATCATCTACATTTTATGTCAAGGAAACAAAGACAGAGGGACATCAAGTGACTTCTCTAATGTGACCTGACTAGCGAGTGGCAGAGGAAGAATCTGACTGCAGCGAGAACTTTCGTTCCAGCAGCTCCCTCCCCCCGTAAGAGGCATGCCCACGTGTCCGCTGAGCCTCGTCCCGGAGTCCTGGGGCAGAAGGCTGCGGGCAGGAGACCAGAGGGAGGCAGCAGCTGAGGAACAGGGCTGGGGCCGACCCGGCGCCCGCTGCTGGGCATGGCATGTGGATGATGAAGAGAAGCAGGGAGGGAAGGATGGCAGGGCAGGTGAAAAGTGAAGAAAAAGGAGAAAGTAAAAAGGGAGCCGAGAGAGGGAGGAAGGAAGAGAGGAAGCGGATAAAGCGAGAGGGACGGGAAGGAGAGACACAAAGGCCCTAACTGGAAGGAGTAACAGAAAAAGCGCACCAGCGTTATTGATAAGCACGGAAATAAGCCAGAGTCCTCAGAAGAGGAGGCGAAGCACCAACCACCACCGAGAGTCCTGAGGACAGGGCATGGCGGTGCACACAGAGCCGACCAGCCTGAGAGCCAGGGACTGCCAAGTCCCAGCACACCCCATGCACCGGGGACACTTACAGAGCAAGAGAGGCGGTGGCAGCAGTGAACAGAAGGAGGTGCCCAAGGGATCCAATAGCACCTGAGAGGAGCAAACAGGAAAGTGAGAGCTGGGGGGGCCGCCCAGGAGCCTCCTCCCCGGGTCGGCCCTCCGGGCACTCACCTCCACGGCAGGCCTGGACGAAGAACATCTTCGGCTTGTTCTGGAGGCTTGGGCAGTTGGCGTTGTCAAAGAGCCGGAACACCTCTTGCAGCTGCCGGGCGGAAGTAGGGGGGAAGGGAGGTTATGTAGTCGGTAGGGACCCCCGAGTCCCGTGCCCCCTGCAGCAGCCAGCACCGGGCGGCCGGCCTCCAGGGCACCGTCTGCACACTGCACACACACCTGAAGCACCTTGCCGTCCACACCATAGACGCCGCCCTCCACGCCGTGAGAGAGGAGGGCCACTATGCAGGAGTCGGTGTCACGGTGAGCGGGCATCTGGGCAAAATTCTGCAGTTTCTCTTGCATTTCCTGGAAGAAAGACACCTTTCAGTGTTGTTCGCTGTAGCCAGCACCGCTTTTCTGTGGCCTGTGATAAGGGAAGTCGGAGAGCCTCTGAGAGGCTAAAGAAAGCGTGACCTCAGACACAGAATTCTGAATATAAATGCACAAAATTCACAGACTGGGATATGCTAACTCCTGGATCAGAGCAAGTCACTAATGAAGCCAATCAAGGGCCAGTTAACTTTGCCCATTCCCCAATCACCAACCGGGCCTTTCTTCAGAGCCAATGCCCCTGTACACAGATGGCATGGGGGGGCCACCTAGGGAGCTGTGAATGAGGGTCCCCTAGGGGCTGTGCGAAAACAAACCGCTCAGTGACAAGGGACTAACAGGTCCATGATGACGGAGAGCTGAGCTGCCCAGAGACAGCGATGGCGTCTGTAGAAAATGCCTGTTCAGGGAGGAGCACGCTGTCTGGAAGATTCTGTCAGGGCCAGGACTACGTGCGGAGGCTACAGGTTCAGACAGACTGAGGTCTGATCCCCGGGTTCAAAGCTGGTACAAGTTATGAAGCCCCTCAAGATTCTACCACCCACTTTGTAAGAAGAGAAAGGACTCACAGCTGTGCCTGGCACATACTGCAATGATCTGCCATTAATGTTACATGCATGTGCAACGAACGGTAACACGATTATCATTTTTTTCAGGAAAAAACACACACACACAAAAACAACAAAAACAAACAACAAAAAAAACCCCTATTACTGGTCAACCTTGCAGTCCAAATTAAGAATCTTGCTTATCTAGCCCTGAATTGCCATATGAATATCTCCCTATCTTAAGCATTTCACCCATCAATGGAAAGTTATATTATAATAACCTGACACTGCTAAACCTACGTCTCCCTCTACCACTCGTGCCTCGGCTGTCTCTCCTGGCTCAGTGACGTTCCTTTATTATGAATTTGAATGAGCCACAAGGACCACAAACACGCCATCCGGGCAGGAGAGCTGCATCACACAGCCCCTGACAAAAAAGCACGCCCCTGTGGAGTGCACTGTGGCGGTTCCCACGGCGCGGTCCCTAACACAGCAGCATCAGCATCGCCTGGGCGCTCGTAAGAAATGCAAAGTCTTGGGCCTCAGCAATTGCGTTTTAACAAGCCCTCAGCGATTCTGAAATCAATATGCAAAGTCTGAGAACTACCAATCGACTTGTCTGCAATACAGCTGACCCTTGAACAATGTTGGAATTGGGGCACCAACACCCCACTGTCACAAATCCACACATACTTTTGATTCCCCCAGAACTTAACCAGTCACCCTTTAACCCCGCAAGGATACCAAAATCTGCAGATGCTCAAGTCCCTTAGATACAATGGTGCAGACCAAGGCATAAGTCGGCATTCCACAAGTTTGGATTCCCAGCAGTGGACCAAAAATACTGTTTTTGATCCGAGGTTGGCTGAATCCACAGATGTGAAGCCCAGAGATACAAAGGGCCGACTATGTACTTACTGAAAAAAAAAAAAAAAATCTGCCTGTAGTTGGACCTGTGCAGTTTAAACCCATGTTGTTCAAGGGCCAACTGTACTCCTGTCTGAACATAACTGAGACTTCGTTATACAAGGCTTGAAACTCTTCAACGTAACAAGAAATGGAGAAATCCATTTGTTGACAAAGTAGGCATATTTTCTGGACAAACAGAAGCCAACCATAACGTTGGAAACCTTAAGGTAGTAAAAGACATTCAAAATTAATTTATTTCAAGAATCTGTAACCTCGAGGGAATCCGTAAGCATGAAGGCGCCTCCGGAGCTGAGGGCGGCAGAATTCAGCATACAGTGGTTAGGTCTGCTCGTGGAAGGGAGCACCACTGTACGTGTGGCACCTACTCACAAGGCTTTAGAACTCCAGTGAGATGATGAGGTCAGTAGACAGAGGACAAAAGAGCCCAAAGAACGAACGCACACTTTGTAACTGGACTGACAGGACTAAACCACTCAGTAAACGGGGATTAATCACTTGGGGGGATTTTCCCAGAGGGAGCATAGCTTCAAGTAGGATCTGTAGCTTCATTTCTGGGAAAATCACAGTTCTCATCTAAACAGCAGTCTTCCCGTGCCTGTGGTTTTGGCTGGGTGTGGAGGATGCAGGAGAAGAGAATAACCCCTGAGCCCTCTGACATTCTGTGCAATTCTGTGGGTAGCCTTTCCTGGAAGGACCCACACAGCTTGTCCCCGCGTTCTCAAAGCAGCCCGTGACCCAAATGCAAGTTAAAAACCAGTGCCACCCAGTGAGAGAATATTGGCCACTGAAATGTGTCTCATTTCCTCGTATATGATGAACTGTAATTCTAGAACTATCAGCCTCACGGAGGAGACGCAGTGAGAACAGACTGAGCACACAGAGAAACTGAACACCAGCCGGGGCAGCGAGGACGCCAGTGAGCGCCCACCGAGGACTGGGGGGTGGGGTGGCCCTCTATGATTGGGGGCGGTTCTCTCTGATTGGGGGGAATTCTCTACGACGACACACCGTCTCCAACTGTAAATGGAATGATCTCTGGAGTCCAAAGGGAAAAAGAAAAGATCTTAATTTTTCGGTCGTTTCTTTGCTCGCCAACACTTACATAACCAGAGTCGAGTTTCTCGAGAGGTCCTCGCAGAATGAACGTTGTGCGGAGGCCCAGTGGCCCACGCCACCACACCCACTGTGACTACCGGGCTTTAGTGGGACCCGAGAGTTCGGCCTCCGCCAGAAGCGGGCTCCACGGTGTCCTCCTCCTCGTGGTTCTGAGTCTCCGGCGCTGGTGGTCAGGCCACATGCAGGGCTACCTCCCAAGGCTCAGTCCTACGCCTTTTGCTCTCGTTACCCTAATTTCTTTCTCAAAGATCTCATACTCTCTCATTAAATATTCTTCCTGCACAAGTAACTGCCAAATTCACGGCTTTGGTCTTGACTTCCTCTAGGCCCTCAATTCCTACCTAGCTTTCCCACCTCTCTATCTGTGGTCACTCACCCACCAGGCACCGGAAGCGCAACCATGGCATTCTGCTCCTCTCATGTACACCCCTTCCCTTCCTGTCCACTGCGCTGTCCAGGCCCTCACCGTCTCGTACCAGCACGATGACTTCCACCCCAAGATGGATTTCCCGCCACGAGCTTCTACTCCATTCCTTGCGATGCGGTCACATTAGTCTTCCTGAATCATCGCATGAATTATGCATCACTTTCCACTCAAGAATCACTCACGATGTTCTGATGTCAAAACAAGGACATCCGATTTCTTTGGGAAGACTTTCAAAGCCCCGTGCATCTGCCCCCTTGAACTCCACTCTTACCTTTGGCACTCCCTTGCCCGAGGCATTTGACTTACCCACTGGGTCTCTGACATCACACACACACATTCCCTGTCCAGCAGGGGTCCTCCCCACCTCGGCCCCCTGCACCACGCCTGTCTTTAGCAGCCATCCTTCCAGGCCCATTCAAGTCTCCATCTAGCCTTCAGACCCTATCTGCCCCATGACTGTTTCTTTCCCTTAACTTCTATAGAAGACACGGTCGCTAACCTTGCCTGGTCCTTGGGAATGTAAGGGGCGTGCTTCTTTTTCTGCTGATGTCAAGAGTTCCTCATCTAACTGAAGTTCCCTGGAACTCAAGGCTGGCCTTTGAAATCCCTGGTTCCTGACACAGTCTGCCCCATTCTCAGGCACTCGAAATCGGATGATACTGCAATTGCAGTCATGGACGGAGATGGAGGGTCCCTGGGGTCCTGGAGTCTGCGTCAGGGGTGGCACCTGTAGGAATGGTGCTTGTGAAGTGGGCTCACGGCTCCCCCAATTCTAGTGACTGCCTCTGAAAACAGCAGCGTACAGCTGACTTGGTGACTCAGGATGGCATCTTTCACTGTCATGCACGTAAGATTCCCAATGACAAGACACAACTTAGAAACCCAAGACGTCAATTTCTAGTGAAAGGAATGACTGGAGCGAAACCTGCGAGGGGGCAGGGAACACGTCTGTTTTGTTCGGTGACTTTCTAAGGGGACCCCTGGGCAGGCATCGTGGCCGATGCCCCAGCCTCGCCCCCTCCAGGCCCAGCAGACCCGGCCGAGGCAGCCGTTCCAGCCGTGGCTCTGGGGCCGGGGCGGCTTCACTGTGTGCGCTGCGTGGGCTGCTGATGCGGGGAAGGAGCACCCCTGAGTGCCTCCCGAGGAAAGCGGCCTCACCGTAAGTAGAGCAAGCACCTAACTTTTCTCACGGAAGCAAGACAGCTGAAAACCAGACCCGGAGACCACAGACAATGTTGAAGGCAAAACAAAGGTCCCTCACCTCAACCAATCAAAGCTCCCAGAAACATTAACTTTACCACTGACATTCCCAAAGGCAAGTTTAGGGAAGTACTATTATTCTGGAATCAAAGTGAAGATTTGGTATTAATTCACCAAAGAGGCTATTATCAATTTCAAAACAGAAACAGCCAGAGGTAATAAAGCCCAACGTGCAGCTGCATAATTGAGGGTAATGAAGAATAACCCATAACGAAAATGCTTATGATGGGCAGGAATCTAGTCCAGAAGTAACCGCCCCAAGATCTGCCCCGTGGCCACACAACTGATAAAAAGGAATTTTTCCACAGGCCAATGTGTGTTAAATTGCCACAAAACGGTATTTACAAGGGCAATTCCAGCCAGCTTTCACTTCTAAGAATTTCAGCTGCCAAAGTCATCTTTACGACAGTAACTAGACTGTGCAGCCCTGGCTCAGAAAGGCCTTTCGGAGCTGGCTGGGTGACTCTCAGTGTCCCCTCACTTCCTGAGCGATTGCGGATTACTCTGCTGGACGTGGAGAAAGGAGAACCCAAGTGAGGACTTTCACTTGGGAGAGCACAGCTCCCTGAGAAGTCAACAATGAGGCGGCTGGCTAACGCTAGTTTTTCCTTTCACTCGACTGCAAGGTGGGAGGCAGAAAAGAGCGAGCAAAAGGGTGAGGAGAGGAAGTAACTAGCACCACCCAGCCCAGCGGGCGGAGGAGAGGGGCAGCGGGCGATTTTGGCCCCGAAGGTCGCGTCGGGTACCTGCGCGGTCTGGTCCAGCAGAACATGGACCTGGTAGCCCAGGAGCTTGAAGAGGGCAACTAGAGTGTTGTGGTCCACATCCCCGCCAGAGCGGAATTCCAGGTCTTTCTCTCCGGTGAAGTGCACGTTGCTCAGGACCAGGGCCAGCCCACGAGGCTGAGACTTCAACCTGTAGGCCTGGGGAGGGGAGGCCGATGAGACCGGGAGTCTGAGGACGCAAACCCCACCCCGCCTGCCCCCCGTGAGACATTTCAAGAGAACAAAGACATCACGTTCTTCCGAACTCCACCAGGTCAAGACAGAAACATGCCCACAGAAGACAATCCATCAGCAAAGACTTTCTGACTAATAAAGCAGGGAGGAAATGTACACGCAAACCAAGTCCAGATGCCCAAGAAGGGCGGCTCGTTTCGCAGCTCTTTTCCTGTTGCCATTCCGCCAGACTCACCAGCTGGGAGTGTGCTTGATAAAACTCGGGAGTGCAAGGCTTCACCTGAAGGCAGGGCGGGCCATCTCCGTTGTCCAGGGAGAGTTCCACAGCATCTGAGGCATAGGAGCCAAAAACTAGCACACCATCTACACATCTAGTACTTTGAAACTTCAGGCACTCTCTGAACTGGGGTTTTAATCTTTACTGGTCTTGCTCATTCCCTGAATCTGTAAGATCCCTTGAGGCAGAGACCTGTTGACTTAGCCTGCATACAGCAGGTGCTCGACTCACTGAATGACTGAATGAGATGTGCCCAAGGCCTTGTCCTAATCACAAAGCAACTCAATCGGCAGGCTCGTGGCCCACCATGTAGTCTATTCTCATTTTATAACAGCTCAGCTTTATAGAGGAGACAGGCCAACCGCATGCAGGAATTTCCTGCCTCTGCCGGTTGCTCCTAGGGCTAACTACCAAGAAAACACCATCTGTGATGGAAGGGAAATACGCCTAACCCATAACCCATCTAAACTGCTCTGCCGGTCCCGAACACCTTCAGCGAGGAAACTGTTCCCAAGATGAATGAAAGCAGGTATCACACACTAGGGCAGCCAGACGCCAGTTAAGGGCAGTCAATTTGCGGGACCTGTTTTATCCCATCAATTCTCACCTGCAGACAGGCGGAGCTGCTTGTGGGGGGGACAGGACTCAGGCACCGGCAGAGACGGACCCAAGTTGTAGTCACGGCTCAGCTGTAAGACATCAGGACCCCCACGGCAGGTCTTAGGGAGATGGTCCGGTCCAAATAAAACCCAGATCTTGTCTTCCGTTTCAAAAATTCAATTCCCTCCAAACTAACCCTTCTTAACACACCACACGCCTAGGGCCCCGTACCGGTGGGAGCACATGCTGAAGACCAGAGAGGGTGGAGAGCAACAGATCCTCCAGGTGAGCCTGCTTGGTCTCCCTCAGGGCCACACAGAAGGCGGCAAACGCATGGGGACCCCTCTTGGGCAGCAAGTTGAGGAGCTCCACGTTCTGGCTGAAACTGCCCACTTTGGCCTACAACACAAGAATAAAACATAAAAGCCCATTCACTTGTCTGGCTATAATTCTATTTCTCCAGACGAGCTTCCCTAGAATGTCATCACCCATCTCAAGAATTCCTTTCATAAAAAACAATACAGGCGAAGTCCTTCCCATTATTCCTGAATTGCATATCTTTTCTGCTAACTGCTCTAGGGTAGAGGGGCCCTGTCATCCCCTTCCTAGGGCGCTGCCTGCTCTGCACACAGTGTCAAGCTCTGTTCCTACTTCTACAATCAATCCGCTCCGCTCTTCCCTTTCGCCTCCATACCTGAATGTGCTCCCTCATTTCCAAGGTGATGATGTCTTTCTCCAGGAGATGTTCCAACAGTTCACTCAGCAGCAGCTGCTTGGCCAGCATCACTCGGTTCTTTTTCAGAGCTTCCTGATGGTCCGGATGCATGCCGCACACGCCCAGCACCCTACCGATAAGAGGCAGAGAGAAAGGATGTCAGTGCAGAAGGTTTGGCCCAGAAGAGGGGTGTGGAAGAGGCGGAGGGAGGAAGAACAAAAGGGACAGGACTTACAATAACCAAGGTTAGGCATGTTTTATGGAGACAGGTTGAGGTCAAAGAAGTATTAAGCAGGAACACATTGAGCATGAGGAAATGATGTACAGGATTCTTTATGGAGTGTGTTCAACCAAGAGCACCCCCTGACACAAACAGTCTGTCTAGGGGAGGGGCATGGCTGCCTTCAGAGAAACATCCACAAGCGCGCGCACACACGTATTCCCGAGGAGTATTCCCCTGAGAGACCAACTGCAATCAAGAGATTATTCCACAAAACACTTCACATTACTTATCCAGGCTGCTGAAAAGTGATGTAAGTTAAAGGATCAGAAGCCTCTAAGAGCTGGGTAAGGAGGAAGCATGAGAGAAAGTCACAGTGGATAAATACCAACAATGGACACGGTCACCATAACCTGAAATCACTTAAGAGTTAGTGCACATAAAGGTGAAATTATGCTGGTAACTGCGTTTACGAGGGATGTCTTCGTTTCACAGTTTCCTTAGTTCTGCTCATGGTTTGGAAAGAGTATCAGTTTCTGTTTATGAACTAAAAGGATCTCATTTCAATGTATATCATCTATGCGCCTAGTTTATATAAACCCGGAGCTCGTCAGCCCGTTTAGTCAGTTTCCAAACATATGACAACAGTATGGGCCTGATGGCAGTGAGGAAGGAATATGGTAATCGCTTCGGTTTACAACTTAAAACCCTATTTAAAGATCCATCCTCATTTCAAAGATGTTCAAGTGTGCAACACAGAATCAGTGAATATCCCAACATTTATCTGATGTACTTGGCTTAACGCTAGGCTAGAGATTTATAGTGACAGGAGAGAAAAGCATGGTCTTGGAGGAGCTGGGAGAGACCCAGGAAGATGGCATGTGGGACCCCAAGGCAAGGGCAGTGGTCAGGAACACATTGCCAGTGTGGTCAGGAACACATCCCCAACACATTGGGGATGTTTAGCCTAAACAGGTTAATGTTTAGCCAACTCAGGTTCAAGTTTGGGTTGGGAACAGCGACATTTGAAATTCCATTTTAACTTCTTGTTGAATAATGGTTGTTAATGCTGCTGTTGAGCTGTTTACATTTACATTGGTGAAATACTATGTTGCTTATGTCATTAAATATTTTACCGCATTTTTTGCTTCAAAAATTTCCCCCCTCTAAAACCTAGGTGAGTCTTATGGTCCGAAAAAAATACAGTATATGTTGCCGTGTATTTAATGTGTGGCCCAAGACACCTAAAGATTGGACACCCCTGGATCAAAAACTCCATTTAAGAATCACTTTAAAGGACACCAAAGCAGTAATAATGGTCTATGTGAACGCTGATAAAAATGAGTCAAATTAGGCCAACCACAAGATAACATCACATGCGGCCATCCAGCTATTTCCTTAGGATGCATGCATACCAATGGTGGAGCAGGTTTACCCAGGTTTCCCTCAGCGTACCAGCAGCATTTTCTCCTTAAAACTTTCCCCTCCCTGTAGGCAGCCTCTAGCAGGCTGCCCCAGTTGCCTTCAAATACGCTAAAAGCTAAGTGACCAAACTTGTTTCGATTTGAAAAAAGTACAATTTTCGTGTCCCACTCCTTGGTGAAACCTTACCCTACGCTGGGCCTTTGGATGTGAACAGACATTTTCTGGGATAAAAATCCAAGGATTAATTTTAAATTTGCAACATTCCACTTCTGTAATCTGTTTTAAATTGTTTTATGTACAGTAAGCACAGCTGTAACCTAGTTTTAGGAGAAACCAGCGCTTTCTTTTAGTTCAATTGTATTTCCCTTGTGACTATAAAAGACTGTGGTTTATACAGTTTGTTTCAACAGCCCTTTTCTTGGGAGGAAGCTTGAGTGTTAAAGCCATTTGTAAAAGGCCCTGCCATACCCATTTTAGTATGTGCCTATTGCTGTTAAACTTTGATGAATAAAGACCTCAAACAAACAAAATAGAACTTTCCCCTCCCTTGGGGCCCATTACACCACTGTCTCCACATCCCCTCTCTGACCACGAGGTTCCTGTTTCCTCCAGAGGACCTCTGACCTCTCCTTAAATGCTGACAGCTATTAAGTACCCTCCTGAAAGAACCTGTCCCCAGTCTGTCTCATCCATACTCACAATTCACTAATACACTCCCGGAACTCTTTCAAGTTCCAGACTTGAATTTTCAACCAAAAACTCCACGGGTTTAATCCGAAGCATCATCTGTTCTCCCCACACCTGCTCCTCTCTGTATTCCATATTGCGTGGAGAATCTCGAAGGTGGACTTTCCAAAAGGAACCACCACCACCACCTAGAACTTCGGAACACATCTGCGAGGGGAGGAAGGGGTGCCGAAAAGGGCACAAAAGGAGTCCTTCCGTCTTGATTCTCTGTGCCCCTGCAGGTTCCAGTTCTGAAGTCCTAAATCTTCCGGGTCTGGACCAGAAGGCATTTAAAATGTTCTGGGTGATGCCTGCCATTAAATGATATAATCGGGTCAGAGGAGGAGACGCACTGGGAGCCTCCGGAACCTCCTTGTCCTTTCAAGGTACTCACACCCCAAAGTCTGTGCTGATTGCTTTGAAAATCTGGTCATTATACCCAAAGCAATACGGGCTCATGATATATTCAATCCAACTCCAATGCACATTAGGCAGGATACCGGGATCTGCAGGTCTCATCGGTTACGGGGACAGGATAGTTCTTCAGAAGGGAAGCAGAGGAAAGAAAGAGCCTTTTAAAAATTTAAAGATGGAGAATCTTTAACAGAAGCCGAGATTTGGCAAGACTGGAAAGAGCTCCCCTTGTTCAAAGCCCTCCTACGATGGACGAATCGAGGCTGGAGCGTGGAGGGGCGAGGCCGAGAGGGGCGCCCCTGGGGGAACAGCCCGGCTTCCCATCCTTGGCAGGCAGTGCGGACAGGCTGCTTTTAGGCGTCCAAGGTGGGGAAGGCACCAGGGCCACACGCTTGGCACCCGCGATCCCCTTCCCTGGGACCTAATGAGGACCCCTGGAATCTTCCCTGACTCACCTGCATCCCCTGTCAGCGGACATTAGCCCCCTTAGGGGCAGGGCTGGCCGGGAGCCCGCGATCGGGGTCGCCATTTCTCGCTTTTCCCGGGCTGGGAGCGCACCGCCCACAACCCCAACAAACCAAAAGCCTCCGCGGCCTCAGCATCCCTCCCCCGACTGGCGGCCGGCAACGCGCCTGCGCCCTACTTCTCTTGGCACCACCCCCTACGCTAGGCCCCCTCGCCCCGTTCCTCGCGGTGCGTGCGCAGGCGCAGAGCCTTGTCGTGAAAGTGCCGTCCAATGGAGAGCGGGCTGGGTGGAAAGGGAAGGGGCGGGGACAGAGCGAGGAGCCGCGCCCCCCTACGTGGGCTCACGATTGGTCCTGGGTTCCCGCGGAAACCTTGGCTCCCGCCCCCGCTCTCCCATTCCGCCTCTCTGGCCTATTGCAGAAACTTCACAGAGACGCGAATGGCCGACTTGTTACTTTATTGAAATATTGGGGCCAGGGTAAGGAGGCGGAGAGCACTAGGAATCGCTCGACGGATACCCGTTCTATGACTGAAGCCCTGAGTGGGGAGCGCACCCCAGAGAAGGGTGGGGCAGCGGTGATTGAGCCCCTCCCAATGGCTGAAACCTACAGCACTGGCGCAGAACGTGGTTCCAGACAATCGGGTCTTTTGTTGGGCTTTGAGGAAGCAGTCCGGGGGCTGGGATTAAACCCTAGAGGTCGACCTGAAGGGGTGAGGCCGAAGCGATTAGAGTCAGGGCCAGGGATTCCAGTCGTCACATCGGATGACTAAGTATCCTTAGGTACTCTGCCACCCCTGCCAAGAAACTCACGCTTTATCCCTGCTGACCCACCTATCCATCATTCTCAAAACGGGAAGACCCCAGCCGTAGGGCAGTTTTACTCCACTGCTTCCCCACAGGATGGGGACCCTTCATTGGGCACTACTCTCTAGCCCCTGGGGCAGAACTGCTTTACACGCGGAGCAGGGGTCATCAGAGCTTTGCTCCTCCTGTGGGCTGGGCACGCTCTTGGTCACGCTCAGCCCACCCCGTCTACACACACACGGTCCCCCATTCCGTCTACATGAAGTCTCCCACCCCTCACCCAGTTGTCCAAGGCAGAATGAGAGATGGCCTGGCTACCGTGTTTTGAGAAGGAACGTGATAGGCTTTGGGATCTGAACAGCAGAGTTTTAAGTTATTTTGATGCTATTTCCTAGCACTGTGCCCCTGTGCAAATACATTTCTCGGATCCTTGGAATCCTCATTTTTCAAATGAGGATAATACCTCATGAGGCTGGGAAGCACAAGGGATCTATTAGAAGCAGAGCACTGGAAACAGAAGCAACATGATTGTCACTCAGATGCTGATCCCTTCATCCTTCCCCAGATTCTCTGGATCACCCCTCCTCTTGCCCTCAGTCTCACTCAGGAGATAGGGGATGTGGGTGAGGTTTCTGAATGTTGCCTGGAAATTCAAATCGTACCTACATCTCAGCCGGGGAGGGCTTACCTTAGCCTGACTCCCCGCTGGGTTAAAGTCCCCGCTCAGGATGTTTCTGAAGGCACTGGGAAATGTGCTCGAATGACCCAGTGGGTCTGGCACAGAGAGATGACATATCCTGGGAAAGTCCGCTAGGGGGGTGTCCAGTCGTCTTCATAGAAAACATCGTCATCATCAGGGTGACCAAAACTGGCATCATAGTCAGGGGGCGGAGTAAGAGGCTCCAGTTGGGGGAGTGTGGCCACGCTCTGCAGATCAGGAGCGGTGGACACGGCTCGTGGTCCCCGAAGGCGAAGGCTGATCGGAGCTCTTCCGGGGCTTCCTGGGGTCATAGACCCCTCTGAGCCCACTCGCCTTTCCACCTGGGCTCTCCTGGGCCCCTGTGCATGGCAAGGCTGTCCCTCCACAAGTCCTGCGGGAATGACGACACTGCTGTAGGGAGGCGGCTGATCCAAGTCTTGGGGGCGGCCCTGTGACTCCAACACCATGGCCTCCCCATAGGCTGGCACCTCGAAGGCTTCATTGTCCCTGGGGGAGGAGAAATAAGGTCACTGGTGGCTGCCTGAACGGAGCCCCTTTCCCCTTTTCTATTTTCTACTGACAAAAAACACCTCCTGCTACTGATACCAGCGACAGAGGTGGAAAGCAGAGCCTGTATGCCTGAGAGACTAGAGACACAGGGAGAGCGGGCAGTGTGTTCCTTCAATTTGCCCCCGCCCTTGACTCACCGAGCACTGCCTGAGGCCCCTGGGCTCTCCGGCCGCACAGATCGGAACGCCCACTCCAGAAAACAGGCCAGGAGGCAGGCAAACAGGAAGAAGCCACCCAAGGTCAGAAAGAAAGAAGCAGCAGGGACAATGTCTGGCCATATGCCCAGCAAAGCCAGCCCCAGGAGGAAGGAGGCGCAGCACAGGTAGACAAGTGGCTTCTCCAGTCTCCCCCATGACTGGCTTGGCACCATGGCCCCTCCCCAGGCTCCTGCAAAGAGACACACAGCTGTTGTGTCTAAACTAGCAATTGGCATCATGGCTGGGTCAGATACCAAAGTAACCATACTAGACACCTCTGGGGGGTTTCAGGTTCTTCCATCTCAGATCAAATAAATGGCCAAAATAAGTGATCGGCAGTGAACCCTTCAGTTCTGTCATTCTCTATAGGATCACGCTGTCATCCCAAAGGCATCCGTGTGTGGAATAAGCCAGGAAACCTGCCCAAGAGTGTGGACTCCCAGCCATCACGCCAGTTTCCTGTGTCGTGGCTCTGCCTGCCTTCTTCCTTCTTCCCTGGGTTCTCCCTTCCATCTCTGCCGTTCCCCATCCAGGATCCAGTCCTGGGTGGGCCCCTGGGACCGTGGGGTTCAGTGGCATCTCTGGAATCTAGGTGATGGGGCAGGCCCTGCCCTTTCTCTATTATTGCTTGCACTGGACCTCTGCCCCAGCCCCCTAGCTTCCCAGTGAGGGACCCTCAGTGAGACCTTGTTGGGGCGAGTAGGGGGAGGGAGCACCACTTACCCATGTCTGACCCTATCTTCCCATGTCCTCCAGTCAGCCTACGCTCCGGTTGGAGGGGGGAGGGGGGACGCACGTAGAAACAACACAGCCGCAGGGCCACAGCCACTGAGAGAGAATCTTACAGACAAAGGCCCGGGGCCACAGACAGAAGCCAGATAACTCCTGGCACTCGACACCCCGCATCTGCAAGGGTCCTCCACCCTCTGCCAACTCTGACTCGGATTTCCAGTTTCTGGCCTGGAGTTATTACCACAGGGGCTGGGAGGCTGGTGGGGAGAAGCTTCTTTCCTTTGCAACACGGCAGCAACGCAGAGGCAGCGGTATCCCAAAACCAGTCGGTCAGGCACTCCCTGAACTCTGCGCAACAGGGACTCACAGACTCTACGAAGGGGCCAGACCCCCTCCTGACACCCCTGCTCCAATCCCAGGACCCTCCAGCCACCTCTCACCAACCTTAGGCTTGCTACCTCACCTGTCAGGACCAGACTCCAAAGAAAGTAGGTTGAGGGGAAGTGGGAGGCGCGGAGGAGGTGGAGCCCACTGGCCCCACCCTCTCTTTGGCCCCAATCCCTCAGTTCCTGCCCAGGCTTCACTCCCCCTTTTTCTCCGTAGGGCTGACCTCCTACAGCCCCACTTTAATTTTTTCTCACTCCACCCCTCCCCACTACAGCGCCTTAATGAGTGTGCTCCTCCCCCCCACCCCAGGGATCTTTGTGCTTGGGACCAGAGCTAAATTCACCTGTCCTTACCCTTTCTTCTTGGTGTGTGTTATACTAAGAGCAGTTTGCCTCACATTTAGAGAATATGTATTGTACCTGGGGGCAGAGATCATGGTCTGTTCAGCCTCCGTGATCACACAGTGCTTTGCGGACTAAGCACCATTGCGGGTCTGGAATGGCGTGTTCTGCTTCCACCGCTGCGGGACCTTGTCTGTGACCTCCTTGTTTTCTGCAGACCCGTAGGAGGAGTTCGTGGCGTGGTTGCTTCTTGGCACGGTTAACAGTTGATTCTTCAACAGCCACCTCCGAGGGGATGCCTGCCATGGAGGCTGTGTCCGCTTTGTAAGCACAGCATTCCTTCCTACCCCTGTCCTGGCCTTTACCTGTTTGTATGGCAATTTTCTGCTTACACACCTGACCTCCACGGTGAGTTCCTCCTGGAGAGTGATTCATTCCCATCATCTCTGAATCCCTGCAAGCAACTCCTGTCCTGACACAAAGCAGGTGTTCACCAAACATAGTTGAGTGACTTTATTAGAAGGCTGCTGTGCCGCCTGGTCTCACCATACACACTGGAGGTCCAGGACCCACTCTTTTCGGTTGTGAGTCAGGCAGTAAATCGGCGAGGTGGGTGCCGGCAGGAGCAGAGTGCCGAGAGGCACACTTTGTCCTCGAGACTCAGAGGAGGATAGACAAGGCTAGATGCTCTGCCTTCAGAGAGTTACCACTGGACAAGTGGAGGGGGTTAGCAGGTAACAGGGCACAAATCTGATCCCAAGGACAGTTGGGGGGCATAGCCTGAGCTGTTGCAGCAGACGAAGTGTGTGTGTGTGTGTGTGTGTGTGAGAGAGAGAGAGAGAGAGAGAGAGAAGGAGGAAGAGGAGGAAGAGTAAGAAGTGTTTCTAGAGCAGTATGCCTGCATGTATACAGATGGGATGCTGATGATGAGGATGCATCTCTGCCCTAGACTGACTGAGAGAGGCCAGGGGGGAGGCACACGGGAAGCCTGTGGTTGTGTAAACAAGGTGTGTCTCTATAGGAAGTGGGAATGCAGAGTGGGGGGACAGCTGGTTATTTCATTTCCACCCGTTTCCTTACTATTCAGCTCACACGGGAGATGTGCAGCTGGGATCAGAAGAATTTCAACCTACAGTTACTATACTAATCGAAGGAAACCGGCCGGCAGTCATTGGTGTGCATAACAAGTGTAGACGTAAGAACGTCTAAACCTGTAGAAAATTTTTGTGAGAGTTCATCTGAACCAAAATGGACAATGGCCGAGAAGCAAGATCTAAAATTCTCGGGAGAATGAGAATGTTGTGGTTTCCTTTGCACATGAAGTTAAGGAGGGGACGTAAAAAGGATTCCGTGGAGGTGGGAGAAAGCAAGGCAGGCAGGGATCGGGTTACAGGATACTTAAGTTTCTGTG